TCGAAAAAATGAAAAATGGAACAACTCTAAAATTTCAGAAACGAAAATTGGAAAATCGCAAAATTGAACAACAAAAGTTGAGGGAAAATGAAAAATCTAAAAATGGGAAAATTGAAAAATTCAAAAGTTGAAAAATCGAAAATCTAAAAAATCGAAAGAATGTAAAGCAAAAGTTGAGTGAAAATTGTAAAATCTAAATACTGAAAAAACGAGAAATTACAAGTCGAAAAATCGAAAAACGGCAAATCGCAAAAGTAAAAAATCGAAAAATTAAAGACAAAGAATTAAAACTTGAATTTTAAGAATATCAGCTTTCAACGTTAGATTTTATAATGTAGGTCAGTTTTCGATTTTTCAGTTTTTGAATTTTACAATTTTTCGATTTTTCAATCTTAAACTTTTTCATTTCTCGATTTTTCGATTTCAGTGTTCCAGTTTTGAGATTGTGTAATTTTTCAATGTTTCGCCTTCTCAATTTCTCGATTTTTATTTTTTTAAATGATCACACTTTATCGTTTTTTCACTTTGTCGATTTTTCAATGTTTGATGTTTCAATTTTATGATTTTTCTATTTTACATTTTTTTTAGTTTTTCAATTTCACAATTTTTTGATTTCTCAACCATCTTTTAGATTCTTAAGTTTTTAATTTTTAAATTTTACTTAATAATCTGCAATTTTTCGATTTGTTAACTTTCAGCGTTTTCAGTTTTAAATTTTTCAATTTTTCGTATTTCGACTTTTAGATTTTTGAATTTTTTAATTTGAAGCAAATGTTTGTAATTTCTTGATTTTTGGACGTTTAGATTTTTCAGTTTTTTTTTCGACGGGAGAAACGAAAAATTGTAACATCGGAAAACCGCATAAAAAAAAATTGGAAAATCGAAAAATTGAAAAACAAAATATTAAGTTATGTGAAAATTGAAAAATCTACAAATTGACGAAATAATAAAAAATTGAAAAATCGAAAAATAAAAAATTGAGAAAATATGAAATCTATAACAGAAAAACCGAAAAATTAAAAATCGTAAAATTGAAGGAACGGAAAATTGAAAAACTCAGAATTTTGGGAAAACTATTTGATATTTTTTTTTAAAGCAGCAGTGAACATTACAAAAATTAAAAAAAAAACTTGAAGTAATTGGAAAAATAAAAAAAATGCACAATTGAAAAATCGAAAAATTAAAATATCTAAAATTTTAAAAACTAACGAAAAATTGAAAAATTTAAAGTAGAACTCGAAAAATTACGAATTAAAGAATTCAAGAAACGAAATACTGAGAAATTTAAAAGGTGAAAAATCGAAAAGTTGTCAAGATGAAAAACTGAAAAATCGTAAAATTACAAGTCAAAAAATTGAAGAAACAAAAATTGCAAATCGAAAAAATAAAAAATCGGAAAATTAAACAGCAAAAAATTAAAATACATATGTAAATATAAGAAACTTAAAAATCGTAAATTACGAAAATTGCAAAGGGCAAAATTGAAAAATCAAAAAATTCAGAAGTCACAAAATCGAAAAAATGAAAATTTAAATTTCAAAACACGAAAAATTAAAAAATTCAAAAGTTGAAAAATGGAAAAACTGTAAAATTGGAAAATTTCAGAAACGAAAATTAGAAAATCGAAAAATTGAACAACAAAAATTGAGGGAAAATTGAAAAATCTAAAAATGGAAAAATTGAAAAATTCAAAAGTTGAAAAATCGAAAATCTAAAAAATGGGAAAATTGTAGAAACGAAAACTGGAAAATCGAAAAATTGTAAAACGAAAGTTGAGCGAAAATTGAAAAATCTAAATACTAAGAAAACGAGAAATTACAAGTCGAAAAATCGAGGAAATAAAAAACGGCAAATCGAAAAATTTAAGAGAAAAGAATTAGAACATGAAAATTAAGAGATTTAAAAGTCGTAAACTATGAAAATTGCAAATGGTTAAATTGAAAAATCGAAAAACTCAAGCGTGGAAAAATCGAAAATTGAAAATTTATATTCCAAAATTCGAAAAATTAGAAAATTTAAAGTTGAAAAATCGAAAACTTGTAAAATCGGAAAATTGCAGAAACGAAAATTGAAAAATCTGAAAAAATTAAAGAGCAAAAAAATAAAAAAGTTGAATGTTGTAAATTATGAAAATTGCAAATGTCAGAATTAAAAATCGAATAATTGAAAATTTAAATTTCAAAACTCCAAAAATTTGAAAATTTGCAGAAACGAAAATTGGAAAATCGGAAAATTGAAAAACAAAAGTTGAGTGGAAATTGAAAAATCTAAAAACTCAAGCCTCGAAAAATCGAAAAACTGAAAATTTATATCCCAAAATTCGAAAAATTAGAAAATTTACAAGTTGAAAAATCGAAAATCTGTAAAATTGGAAAATTTCAGAAACGAAAATTGAAAAATTGAAAAAAAAAGTTGAAAAATCTAAAATTTGAAAAATCGAGAAATTACAACTCGAAAAATTGAAGAAACAAAAAATGGCAAATCGAAAAATAAAAAATTTAAAAATTAAAGAGCAAAAAATTTTTCCGAAACGAAAATTGAAAAATCGAAAACTTACAAGTCGAAAAATAGTAAAAACAAAAACTGGTAAATCGAAAAAATAAAAAATCAAAAAATTAAAAAAATAAAATAGTGTTACGAAATAAACTCATACGCGACCCCAGTACGACGCCTATGGGTCTTCTAGTATGTAGTATGACTCATCGGCCGATCGAAAGATCAATTGCGAAACATCGAGAAGGGAATATGGGTGTAAATGGAGGGCACCTTCGGGAACGAGATTATTCAGTCGAACCACGAGTCCAGCGAATATTAAGAAGAGCCAGTCAAGTTGCGTCGGAATTAGTTTGTACATAATCCCTCTGTAATTAGTCGTGTAAATCCGAGTTATTGAGAAATAAATTGTTGAGTTTAACCCACGCCGATTTTATTCACCCGTTCCACGTAACAATATGTAAAAATTAAGAAATTTAAAAATCGTACATTATGAAAATTGCAAATGGCAGAATTGAGACATTTAAAGTAGACTGAACTGAAAAAATTGCAAATTGAAGAATTCAAGAAACAAAATACTAAAAAATTTAAAAGGTGAAAAATCGAAAAATTGTCGAAACGAGAAATTGAAAAATCGAAAAACCGTAAAATTGGAAAATTTCCGAAACGAAAATTGGAAAATCGGAAAATTGTAAAACAAAATTTGAGTCAAAATTGAACAATCTAAAAATGAAAAATTCAGAAATTACAAGTAGACTCAGGTCAGTCAGCGTCACTCGATGCATTTTTTCTTTGACAATTTTTTCCACCACTTGCCCAGAATTTTGGGAAAACTAAATAAACAATTTTTAATTTAAAAATATATTAAAAAACTGCAGTTGGTGTTCAATTCTAAATTAATAAAACTCATTTACGGCTGGAATGTAAAATTGTTTCCAAACTTTTAGTTTCAAAACTACAAACTTTTTTTAAAGCAGCAATGGATTTCACTAGTCGTTAAAAAAAACTGAACACATTTACAAAAGAAAATGTTTAGAATAGTTCTAAACGAGTATGATAACGGCGACTCATTTAGTTAATCTGTCGAGACAGACAATATTAACGACCAAAAAATTAAAGAACGAAAATAAAGTACTCCGGCCTTCAACTTTTCTTTAATTGGTATTTCCATGACCCGAAAATTCCATTTATTGTGAATAATAATGAAGCAGCAAACTTTACTCTCAGTACAATGTTCCATTAACATTCACTTGAATAAATTGAACACTTTCAAGAATACTTAATACCTTCTTCAGAAACTTTTCATACTTTAATTTTAAACTAATTAAATGCTGTTCTCTCAAGAAACATGTTCTAACTTTTTATATTTCTGACTTCAACCTGACATTCGTAGTGGTCCAAAAAATAATCAACTTGAAATAATCGATGCTGTCAACTTTCCAGTCGATAAAAGCAACTCGTAATTACCTAACTAATAATTAATGCAAAAATGACTTCGTGGTGCACTTTTTGCTCAACTTTTTCCATCCCATGACGTTATTGTGTCCCAGTTCCACTCAGTACATCCTTTGCAGTCTTGACCATGGGTGATCAACAAAATCCTGCCATAAAAGGTAAGCCAAAATTCCAATCACAAAAAATAACACTAGTACCATTCTAGACGACTTTTTCGCGAAAGTTAAACTATACTATTGCGACATTTTCAACACCTTTATTTTAAAAATAGTTCTTTGGACTCTTTTAATCTTCCACGGTGGAATAGGGCTAGTACAGACATATTTCATGATGTATGTATTCGGTAGCCGAGAATTCGCCTCATATGGACCTTTGTTCTTCGCATCCTTTTTCGTAAATCGTAAATTTTGCAATACTGGTTCTGTTGGTCTAAAAATTTATTTCAGGCCTTGGGAGGCGTCGTGACGATTCTTTTTAAACAGCATGCTTACAGCCGTCTCCCAGAAGAATTAGATATGTGGAAAATTGACCCAGAAATGTATCGATCCATAAAAACAGAAGTGAGAGTGATAAATTTCGTCATGGAAATCTTTTTTTGGTTGTCGATGCTCGCTGGTTGTCTCACCATTTTGCCAACTAGTATTGACTACCAAAGATTTTTTTTTATCAAACTGGTACGCGACCACTGTCCGAAATGTAGTACCTTTCTGACGTACTTATATAAACTCACTATGCCCATGATGGTTCACTCTGGCATAGCACCTTGTGTTATGTTCATGTACTGCACTTGTCACGTCAGATATCAGCTAATCATGTTGAATAGGCACACACGGCGTTTGTTGGATAGAGGGAGAAACGAAAGTGACTTAGAAAATTTGCCAATCAACGAAACTTTCCAGAGGGAGATTCGCACCAAAATGATTTTTTGTGTAAAGAGACAGGTTCTATTCCTCCGGTAGGTACCAAATTATTGGTGGGGATAAAAATAATGAAGTAATGACTCTTTTAGCCTCTGCAAGAAGATAGAAAACGAACTGGCTGCTGTGTTTGGATTTTATGCTCTAGCTGGTTGTGCTGTGGGGATTTCAGTGATACTTTTTACCATGATGTTCTGGGTACGTAATTAACCCTAAAGAAATTTAGAGTAACCGAAATTTCCTAGGATGTGATTTTCCACGAGACGATAATGATGATACGCATGACTGTGCTAGGAGTCTTGGTCGGGTTTTACTTCGCTATTTTGTTCTTGTCAGGACAAGCATTGGAAAACGAAGTATGTAAAGAATGGTAATTCTTACAATTTTTTCTTTGACTTGGCACTTTTATGATGTTTCATAACCCCTAGAGTACGAAAAAAGTGCTCCCCCGTTTATTGTCAAATTTTGCAAGTATATTGGACTATCATCCAAATGGTAAAATGCTAATCAAAATTTGGCCAGTCATCCCCACCATCAATTGGATAAAGTCATTTCCAAAATCTCCAAAATTTGATTTTAATTTTATTAAAATTAAGATACCTCTGCATTTGTGGTGTACCAATTCGTGTTGACTTCTCAGCCGACTAATTTTCTGATACCACAATTTTTAGGTTTTTCAGTTATTCCATTTTTCAATGTTTCAGCTTCATAATTTTTCATTTCTTCAATTTTTAATTTTTCGATATATATCAATCTTTTTTCGTTTCTTGAATTTTTCAAGTTCTTTAATTTTATTTTTCATTTTCTCGATTTTTTAATTTTTATTTTGACGATTTTATATCACAATATTTCGTTTTTTCATTTCCTTAATTTTATTAATTGTTCGATTTTCCAGGTTTTCATTCGCAATTTTTGGATTTCTCAATTATTCAATTTTTGATTTCCACTATTTCGATCTTGCAATAATTCGTCTATCAATTTTTCAAGTTCTTGATTCACAATTTTTAGATTTTTTAAAGTTTTCGTTTTATGCTTTTCCGTATTTTAATTTTTTGATTGGAGAAGTTGAAAAATTGAAAAACAAAAAAATTGCAAATTGGAAAAAGTGAGAAATCGAAAAACTGAAGAAACGAAAAATTGAAACATTGAACCTAAAAATCGCAAAAAATTAATGAATCGAAAGATTGGGAAAGAAGAAAAAACGAATCGAATCAAAAAATTGGAAAACCCTAAACTTAGAAAACATAAAAATTATAGAATCGTCAAAATGGTAAAGTCCAAAAACTGTAACATTGAAAGATCGTAAAATTGAAAAATTAAATATGGAGAAGTTGAAAAATTGAAAATCGAAAAACTGAAAAATCGAATAAATAAAAAGTTTTAAAATTCAGTAATTAAAAAATGGAAAAATTCTACAATCGTAAAGTTGAAAAATTGGAATTTTTTTTAAATTATTATTATTACACATTGAAAACTAAAAAAATGCAGATCAAAAAATGAAAAATCGGGAAACTGAAAAATCTAAAACTGAAAAAACGAAAAATTGAAAGCTGAAAAATGGCAAATTGAAAAATAGAAAAATCGAAAAATTGAAAAATTTCACATTGAAAAAAGAAAAAAATTACAGTTAAAATCAGAAAACATTTGAAAAGTTGGAAAATTGAAAAACTAAAAAATTGAAACTTAATTCCCATAACACTAAAATCTTTAAATCTTCATATCACCGAAATCCCCAAGTCCTCAAAAAATCAAAATCCCCAAATCCTCAAAACACCAAAATTCTCAAATCCTCAAAACTACAGTTTCCCCAAATCCCCAAAACACCAAAATCCCCAGATCCTCAAAACACGAAAACCTCCAAATCCTCAAAGCACCAAACTCCCCAGATCCACAACACACCAAAATTCTTAAATCCTCAAAACTTCAAAATCTTCAAATCCTCAAAACACGAAAATCCCCAAATCCTCAAAACACCAAAATCCTGAAATCTTCAAATTCCCATAACACTAAAATCCTTAAATCTTCATATCACCGAAGTCCCCAAGTCCTCAAAAAATCAAAATCTCCAAATCCTCAAAACACCTAAATTCTCAAATCCTCAAAACTACAGTTTCCCCAAATCCTCAAAACACCAAAATCCCCAGATCCTCAAAACACGAAAATCTCCAAATCCTCAAAGCACCAAACTCCCCAGATCCACAACACACCAAAATTCTCAAATCCTTAAAATTTCAAAATCTCCAAATCCTCAAAACACGAAAATCCCCAAATCCTCAAAACACCAAAATCCTCAAATCATCAAAACACAAAAATCCTCAAAACTTTAAAATTTCCAATTTCCAAACCTCATATCCTCAAAATACCGAAATCCTCAAATCCTCAAAACACCAAAATCTTCAAATCCTCAAAACACCAAAATTCTCATATCTTCAAAATACTGAAATCCTCAAAACACCAAAATCCTCAGATCTTCAGAACACCTAAATCCTCAAATCCGAAACGTTGGAAAATTGCAAAACAAAAATTGAAGAAACAAAAAATAGAAAATCGAAAATCTGAATAGTTCAAAACTGAAAAAACGAAAGATTATAAAATCCAAAATTTGAAAAATCGAAAAATTGCAAATTAAAAAATTGAAAAATCGAAAACATGAAAAATTTCACATTGAAGAAAGAAAAATTATAAAATCAGAACATTGAAGAATCGAAAAATTGAAAAAATAACTAAAACAGAAACGAAAAACCGAAAATCAAAAAAGTAAAAAATTTAAAATTGAGAACTTAAGAAACTCAAATAGACAAACTGGAAAATCTAAAAATTGAAAAATTCAAAGGTTGGAAACCTGAAAAACTAAAAATTGACACTTAATCCTCAAAACTACAGTTTCCCCAAATCCCCAAAACACCAAAATCCCCAGATCCTCAAAACACGAAAATCTCCAAATCCTCAAAGCACCAAACTCCCCAGATCCACAACACACCAAAATTCTCAAATCCTCAAAACTTCAAAATCTCCAAATCCTCAAAACACGAAAATCCTCAAATCCTCAAAACACCAAAATCCTCAAATCATCAAAACACAAAAATCCTCAGATCTTCAGAACACCTAAATCCTCAAATCCGAAACGTTGAAAAATTGCAAAACAAAAATTGAAGAAACAAAAAATAGAAAATCGAAAATCTGAACAGTTCAAAATTGAAAAAACGAAAAATTATAAAATCCAAAATTTGGAAATTCGAAAAATTGCAAATTAAAAAATTGAAAAATCGAAAACATGAAAAATTTCACATTGAAGAAAGAAAAATTATAAAATCAGAACATTGAAGAATCGAAAAATTGAAAAAATAATCAAAACAGAAACGAAAAACTGAAAATCAAAAAAGTAAAAAATTAAAAATTGAGAACTTAAGAAACTCAAATAGACAAACTGGAAAATCTAAAAATTGAAAAATTCAAAAGTTGGAAACCTGAAAAACTAAAAAATTGACACTTAATCCGTAAGATACCAAAATCCTCAAATCTTCAAATTCCCATAACACCAAAATCCTCAAATCTTCATATCACCGAAGTCCCCAAGTCCTCAAAAAGTCAAAATCCCCAAATCCTCAAAACACCAAAATTCTCAAATCCTCAAAACTACAGTTTCCCCAATTCCCCAAAACACCAAAATCCCCAGATCCTCAAAACACGAAAATCTCCAAATCCTCAAAACAACGAACTCCCCAGATCTACAAAACACCAAAATTCTCAAATCCTCAAAACTTCAAAATCTCCAAATCCTCAAAACACGAAAATCCCCAAATCCTCAAAACACCAAAATCCTCAAATCATCAAAACACAAAAATCCTCAAAATTTCAAAATTTCCAATTTCCAAACCTCATATCCTCAAAATACCGAAATCCTCAAATCCTCAAAACACCAAAATCTTCAAATCCTCAAAACACCAAAATTCTCAGATCATCAAAATACTGAAATCCTCAAAACACCAAAATCCTCAGATCTTCAGAACACCTAAATCCTCAAATCCGAAAAGTTGAAAAGTTGGAAAACAAAAATTGAAGAAACAAAAAATAGAAAATCGAAAATCTGCACAGTTCAAAATTGAAAAAACGAAAAATTATAAAATCCAAAATTTGAAAAATCGATAAATTGCAAATTAAAAAATTGAAAAATCGAAAACATGAAAAATTTCACATTGAAGAAAGAAAAATTATAAAATCAGAACACTGAAGAATCGAAAAATTGAAAAAATTATTAAAACAGAAACGAAAAACTGAAAATCCAAAAAGTAAAAAATTAAAAATTGAGAACTTAAGAAACTCAAATAGACAAACTGGAAAATCTAAAAATTGAAAAATTCAAAAGTTGGAAAACTGAAAAACTAAAAAATTTAAACTTCATTCAGACACTAAAATCGTCAAATCCTCAAAATCCCCACAACACTAAAATATTCAAAACTCCAATCCCCAATCTTCAAAACACAAAAATCCTCAAAACTCCAAAATCTCCAAATCCTCAAAAACACCAGAATTCTCAAATCCTCAAAACACCAACATCCTCAAATCGTCAAAACATCAAAATCCTCAAATCCGAAAAGTTGAAAATCGGAAAAATTCAAAATTGAAAACACGATAAATTTTAAAATCAAAAGTTGAAAAATCGAAAAATTGAAACCGAATAATTGCAAATTAAAAAATTGAAAAATCGACAATTTTCACATTGAAAAAAGGCAAAAATTACAAAATCAGAAAATTGAAAAACCGAAAAATTGAAAAAATTATGAAAATTAAAACCCAAACGAAAAAGTGCAAATGGAAAAATTGAAAATTTAAGAATTGGAAACTCGAGTAACTCAAATTGACAAATTGCAAAATATAAAAATTGAAAAATTCAAAAGTCGAAAAATTGTAAAACAAAAATTGAAGAAACAAAAAATTGAAAATCGGAAATCTGAAAAGTTTTAAATTGAAGAAAAAAAAATTATAAAATGTAAAAGTTGAAAAATCGAAAAATTAAAGTCGAAAAATTGCAAACTAAAAAACTGAAAAAATAATGAAAATAAAAACCGAAACAAAAAATTGTAAATGTAAAAATGGGAAAATTAAAAATTGAAAACTCGAAAAATTCAAATTGAGAAACTGCAAAACTTAAAAAATAAATTTGAAAAAAGAAAAAAATTGCTAAATTATCTAAAAATTAAAAATTCAAAAATTGATAAATTTAAAAACTGGAAAATTGAAAGTTGTGAAGTCGAAAAACTGCAAATCGAAGAACTGAAAAAACTAAAAAAAACTGAAACATTCAAGTCAAAAAAGCTGCCCTTCAAGGCAAGGGAAGTTCTGTCGAAATAAACTTTGCCCATTTTTTTTTCAAGATCGACCAAATAAGTGAGACCGTGAGTGACATCGAATGGTACTTCCTCGACGCCCCTAACCAAAAACTGTACCTCATCGTCCTGATCAACAGCATGCAGTCGTACCGAGTGAAATTCTTGAGCCACAGCATCAACTTCCAGCTGGGAGTCGACGTAAGTGATTTTCCCTCCAAAAATAAATAAAAATCTTGTCGTACCTAGGTGGGAAAACAAATCTACGCCGTCGGTTCCGTTTTGATCAACATGAAAAGCCGCTTCGTTAATAATAATAACAATCTCGCTAACTGAACCACGTATTCCACTTTTTAAAATCACGTTTTATCGCCATAAAAACGACTAAGTGTCGGCAGTACTTTCTGCCCCCTGTGGGTCGTACCGGCAACCCATCATTACCCGACCTCTCTCATCCCGCTCATTAATTACCCAACAAGTCACCCTTCCATACGAATCATTATTATGCACAACAGAAGCTCGGTTCTCACAAGACACATCCAACTTTTTATGTCACTTTAAATGTCGATAATGACAGCATGACATGGATCCCGGCATCCAGAAATCAAAAATTACCATACTTGGTTTGCTGATTACCGTCGGTAATGACGATGCAGATCTAGATTTAATTACGCGGTTTCCTAACGTCCATTTGTCGTTAGCGGGACCACCGTCGGGTTTGATGGTACCGCTGGTACTCGACAGCGTGGAACGACTTGAAGGTGGACACGCGCGAAACATCTGGCACCCATCGATTTTTACTTCTCGACCGTAGCCTAGTACGAAAAAGTGATCTCCTTTTCCGTCTGTCCGTCTGTCTGTCTGTCTGTCTAGCTTCTGTATTTATCTCAAATTTTGTATGTATATTAGCAATAAAATGTAGTTTAAATATTATACAACAAAATACTTCTATGCTTGTGGTGTACGGATCCGATTTGTGTTTTTTCCATAAACGTCAAAATTTTCGCAAAAAAATTATCACAGTATAATAAAAATCAAACTAATTTCTACGTGACATTCTTTCGATGTATAAACATAAACACTTGTTATTAGTGCTGAGAGTACATTTTATCCTGTTGGTTATCTGCTTCAAATCTATTTTCCCAATTTTTTAGGGATTTTTGTGTAATTCAAATTTTCGATTTTTCAATTTCTTATTCAATTTCGATTCAATTCAATTTTTAAGTTTTTTCAACTTCTGGATTTTTCGACTTTTTGACTTTTAAAAAAATTGAACAAACCCAAAAACATCAACAATCGAAGATTTGACAACCGAAAAATCTGAAAGATCGATACATCGAAAAACTCAAAAATCGAAAACTCGAATAGTCGAAAAATTGGGAAATAAAAAAACTAAAAAACGAACCTCACGAATAATTTGAAGAATCGAAAAAGTTAAAGTTAAGCTTGTTTTTAGTGCTGAGAGGACATTTTATCCTATTGGTTATTTGCTTTAAATATATTTTACCAATTTTTTTAAGGGATCTTTGGGTTATTCAAATTTTCGAATTTTCAGTTTCTCAGTTTTTAATTTTTTTTTTCTTCAACTGTCCGATATTTCAGTTTTGCGATTTTTCAATTCTAAATTTGCTGTTTTTCAATTTTTGGATTTTTGGATTTTTCGACTTTTTGTTTTTTGTATGTCTTGATTTTTCGAGTTTTTGGAAAACTAAAAAATCTAAAAATTGTGGAAAAATTGAAAAATCGATAACTCGACAAATCCAGGGACTGAAATATCAAAAAATGAAAATTCGAGAAATTAAAAGATCTAAAAATTAAAAAATCGATTTTTTTTTATAATCGAAAAAAAGAAAAACTGAAAAATGAACAATTTAAAATTTGAATAACTGAAAAACAAAGAAATCGAAAAATCGGCGAGTAAGACAAAATCGAAAATTTTGAAAATTCGAGAAATCGAGAAATGGGAAAGTCAAAAATTTAGAAAATCGGAAACCGAAAAATCAAAAATTCAAAAAAAATACAAAAATGGATAAATCGAAAATATAATAATTGAAAAATCAAAAAACTGACAAGTCCAAAGATGGAATAGTCGAAAAATTAACAAATGGATAAATCGAAAAATAGAGGAAATGAATTATCCAAAAACTGAAAATTTGTATAAAAACAACAAATTTCAATTTCTGGATTTTTTAATTTTTATATTTTGCGGTTTTTCAATTTGTGGATTTTTAAATTTTTTGGCTTTTCGAGTTTTCAATGTCTTGATTTTTAGACTTTTTGAAAAATTGAAAAATCTATAAATTGAAAAAACGAAAAATCTAAAAACCAAAAAGTCGAAAAAAATGAGAAATCATAAAAGAGAAAAGTGGAAAAATCGAGAAATCAAAAAATCAAGAATTTGAAATACCTAAAAAATTCGAGAAACTGGAAACTGAAAAGTGGAAAAATTAATAAATCGATATTTAAAAAATCTAGGAGACAACAATCACTGGTCAACAGCTAAGCTCTAACTTTTATTATAGCAGTCAATTATTATTTAATTAGCAATTTTAAATGATATTATAAAGGGCTAAGCCAAAACTTAGCTCTCATTTAAAAGTAATTTTAAAATATTATCCTTGAAAAATACAAAAATCGTACTATTAAGTAATAGGAAACTTTCTATAAGGTGTATTTTTTTGTAATCAAATTGCTACAAACTTCTTGGGAAACAATAAGAAAACTACTTTTAGTAAGTAGAAGACATGTTATCATCATATAAAAAATTTAAAATTAACATATTCTTAAAAGTGCATTTTATACACTCGCACCTTGATTTTTTCCCCAAAAATTGTGACGACGTGAGTGACCATCATAGAGAACGCATCCATCTGGGCATTTTGTCGATAGAAAAACGTTACCAAGATCAATGGAACCCCTAAATGCTCGCAGAATACTGCGGGACCATCAAGCGAGAGATCTCCAATAAAATCTATAGGAGGCAACCGAAAAAACGTCGGTCTTCGCTGTTTCTTTTGTTTTTTTCGTTTTTTCAACTACATTCGTTGTTTTTTTTCTTATTTATGGTTGTTCTTTTGTTAATACTACACTTTTTGCCGTTAAAGATACAAAAATTAAATTGTTTTACCTGATTTTGTGTTTCTAACATCAAATATGCATATTTTTTTTAATTGAGCTAAGTTATAAGATTTATGCTCTTTGTTACAAACACAGAGACAAATTGAACGAAAACATTACAATTATGTCAAAGTTAGAGAGAAAAAATTAAATTTTGTTGACCAGTGATAATTGAAGAATAAAGAAGTTTCAATTTTTCGATTTTCCAATTCTTAGGTTCTGCGGTTTTTCATTATCTGGATTTTTGGATTTTTCGACTTTTAGTTTTTTGAAAGTCTTGATTTTTCGACTTTTTGGAAAACTGAAAAATCTAAAAATTGGAAAATTGATAAATCGAAAATCCGAAAAATCCAAAAACCAAAAAATCGAAAAAGTCAAATTATAAAATGGAAAATTTGAAAAATCAGGAAATAGAAAAATTCAGAGATTGAAATTTCGAAAAATTGAAAATTCGAGAAACTGAAAATCTAAAAATTGTGGAAAAATTGAAAAATCGATAACTCGACAAATCCAGGGACTGAAATATCAAAAAAATGAAAATTCGAGAAATTAAAAGATCTAAAAATTAAAAAATCGAAAATTTTTTTATAATCGAAAAAAAGAAAAACTGAAAAATGAACAATTTAAAATTTGAATAACTGAAAAACAAATGAATCGAAAAATCGAGAACGAATAAGACAAACCTGAAAATTTTGAAAATTCGAGAAATGGAGAAATGGGAAAGTCAAAAATTTAGAAATTCGAAAACTGAAATATCAAAAATTCAAAAAAAAAATCCAAAAAATATAAAAAAAAGCCGAAAATATAATAATTGAAAAATCAAAAAACTGACAAGTCAAAAGATCGAATAGTCGAACAATTAACAAATGGATAAAAACTGAAAATTTGTATAATTGAAGAATCAAGAAATTGAAAAATAACAAATTTCAATTTCTGGATTTTTTAATTTTTATATTTTGCGGTTTTTCAATTTGTGGATTTTAAAATTTTTGGTTTTTCGACTTATTGAAAAATTGAAAAATCTATAAATTGAAAAACCGAAAAATCTGAAAACCAAAAAGTCGAAAAAAATGAGAAATCATAAAATGGAAAAGTCGAAAAATCGAGAAATCAAAAAATCAAGAATTTGAAATACCAAAAAAATTTGAGAAACTGGAAACTTAAAAATTTGAAAAACCGAAAACTGAAAAGTGGAAAAATTAATAAATCGATGTACAGAAAATCGAAAACTAAAATATCAACAATAATCAAATCAAAAAATTTAAAAGTCGAAAATTTGTACAATCGAAAAGTTGGGAATGGAAAAATTAACAAACCGAGAAAACGAATAATTGAAGAATGGAGAAATTGAAAAATCCCAATTTTCAATTTCCCGATTTTGCAAATTTTAAGTTTGGCGGTTTTTCAATTTTTGGATTTTTTTAATCTTTCGACTTTTCGATTTTTCAATGTGTTGTGAAAAATTGAAAAATTAATAAATCGAAGAACCGAAAAATCTAAAAATCAAAAAATCGAAAAAATCAGAAATCATAGTGTCGAAATACCGAGAAAGTAAAAATTCGAGAAACTGAAAGTCTAAACATTGAAAAAAACAAAAAACTGGAAAGTAAAAAGATTAAAAAATCAATAAAGTGAAAAACCGAAATCGAGAAACTGAAAAATCGCAAACTTCAATTTCCCGATTTTTCAATGTCTCGATTTTTCGACTTTTTGAAAAATTTAAAAATATAAAAATCTGAAAACCAAAAAATTTAGAAATCGGGAAATAAACAAACCATAAGTTTGAAAAATCGGGAGATTGGAAAGTCGAATAAATTGAAAAATCGAAAAACCAAAAAAATTAAAACTCGAAAAATTAAAAAACTGCTAAAAGTTGAAAGATGGAAGAATTAAGAAATCGATAAATCGAAAAATCGAGGAAAAGAATGATCAAAAAATCAAAAATTCGGGAAGTTGAAAAATCTAAAAATTAACAAATCGAAAAAATCTATATAATCAGGTAAAACTAGGAAAATGGAAAAAATAAAAAACCAGGACAACGAATAATTGAACAAGCGAAAAAGTGAAAAATCGATACATTGAAAATTTGGATAATTGAAAAATAGAGAAATCGAAAATTCCATCAATTTCTCGATTTTTCAATTTTTAGGCTTAGCAATTTTTGAATTTCTGGATTTTTCTATTTTTCGACTTTTCGATTTTGCAATTTCTGGATCTTTCGACTTTAAAAACAAAAATAAGAAAATTAAAAATTGAAAAATCAAAAAATTATAAATCGAAAAATCGAAAAAATCAGAAATCCTGGAATCGAAAAGTTGAAAAATCGGAAAATCGAGACAGTGAGATAAGTCGAAAAATTACAAAACTGAAAAAGTCCGAGGAATTAATAAATCAGTTTGACCAGCGCTCCAATAAGTGTGAGGGAAGTAGGTACTGCATAAGTTCTTGATACCTATTTTTTAGTAGTGACAAAGCGTCACACTTGTCAAAAATGTCGCAAATTCGCCCCGTAGTGTCACGTTTGCTCTATTTAGAAGACGCCCTCCAAAAAACAGGTACCACTTCCGCAATTTTCCAAACCGCTAATTTTGCCTTGTAGGATGGGGGCTCTACTACAAATTCCTCGTGGGCTTTTCAATGGCCAACTTATTCACAAACGGCTTCGTCCTCCTATGCCTCCACTTCGCTCTTCCTTTATCAGCTTGCGACACCGGCTTGACCCAGGAAGACATAGTTAACATCTACGTCTGCTTCGTGACGGGTGAGTGAGTACCTTCTTTGGAAAAATCGCCAAATTTTGACTACAGGTAAAGCCATCGGGGGGTTTTTATTGTGCAGCATATCAGACAGTACCGGGAAAAGGTGCATGATTTCGAAAAGCTTGATCATCACTTTTGGTAGCTGTTTTGTGTCTGCGTTCTCTCATAACATGTACACCCTCTACCTGGCGGCATTTTTCCTAGGTTCTGGGTGAAGAAACTTCTCTTTTGTTTGTCTTTTTATATCTTTGTCCTTTTAGACTTCAAGCTAACATCGTCTCGGTCAAGATTTATCTGGCGGAGATTCTTCCAATAGACAGACGAGGGTTCTATACGGTACTACCTGACTTGTTTTGGACGGCTGGGTACTTTTCGACCTCTAGTACTACACCGATTTTGCAAAAACCGCAACTAGATGTTTGTCGTTTCAGTTTTTATTTACTACTTCGGTACTACTAGTAGTCACGTAAATGAACACCAAGGGATGGATATGAGGTTGACCTCTTGGCGAATAATATTCGCTATTGGTGGAGGGTTGTGCATCACCATGGGGTGTTCGTCGGCACTTTTGGAACTAAGCCCTCGGTTTTTGCTTTTTCGGCGACGAATCATCACGGCTAGTCTCATCTTGAAGCAGTTTTACGCCATTAATAAGTCGAAATATAGCGAGACGTTCGATGTGAGTACCACTTTTGACAGTTTTTCGAAAAATCGCTCTTTGTAGATACACTCACAGCAACTCGTGGACTTAATCTCCGACTATAACATTAACCTGGACCCAGAACCGGTTGGTATGGTGCAGCAGACCGTCGTTATGATCAAGGTCATGATCCGCCTGCTGCGTCTCTTGCTTCGGCAACCTTTTTTTCGTACCGTCGTCACTGTGAGCGTCGCAAAGTTGCCAACCCTCTTTTGGTAGTACCACAAGTAGTTGGTTAACGATTGACCGAAATTTTAGTCTTTCCGGGACGACGATTTTCCTGTCGCAGCTCCTCACTAATGCGAATCAGACCATCACTGGTGTCAGTTTCATCCACTTGAACCTCGTCACCGAGAAGAACTGCACGACCTCGCTGGAAGAAACCCAACTGGAGTACTTCCTCTTAATCTCCATAAACATTTTATTAGCTCAAATAATCCTGGTGTGCATAATCGATAAATTCGGACGTAAATTTCCCATTTGTAAGTACACAGGACTAGTATGTTTTCGACGTTTATAAATAGCCGGTAAAATAAACGCTTCTGGAAATTTGAGTGCGAATGTTCGGCGATATATTTTAGCACATTTGCACTGTGTGCGAGCTATAAACGAGCGGAGTTAAGTGTTTTCGTTAACTGTGGAAGAATTCTAATGAGCGTTTGATAGCTCGTAAGATACTAGATGGGGATTTATTGGCCGCGAAAATGGGAGAATGATAATGGAATTGTGCGGAGTGGAGAAAAACAAACAGACGTTATGGCCTGGATGAGTTCCAGGCTTTCGCGAGTCTATTAGATGATGAACGGACTGGGCTTCCAGGATTTTTGCTTATATGAACTGATTTTCTATAAACTCGAAACTTATAAACTTCCGAAAAGATACTACGTTCGAAAACTGACAATTCACGATTTTTTTAGTTGCAGGTCTCACGTCGTGTTGTTTGACAAGTTTGATCTTGGCGTTTAGTCGAAATTTTACTGTGATGGCAGTGGCGTCGTCGATTTTTATTTTTGGTTTGACTTTTGTCGAGTCGACGATTTACGTGGTCGTGATCGAATCCTTTCCCACTGCAGTAAGGTATGATTTTTTTTCATTTAGAAATCGAAAAGCTTTTTCTTCCGTTTCTTTCGCTTCAAAAATGGTCAAACTAATTAGAGTCATCTCTAATCAGGTCAGGTCAGGTCGGGTCGGGTCAGTTCAGGGCTCAGTCCTTGGACCGTTGCTTTGGATGGTCTACGACAATCTACTAAGGCTCAAGATCCCTGGAGTGACCCAGATAGGTTTTGCGGATGATCCGGTACTGATAGTTATAGCAGAAACCCAGAATACGCTGGAATAAAACTAAAACTGACTTGATCTGACCTGATCAAACTTCACTTTTCCCTGAGAAGACCTCACAGGACAGACCTGACTCGACCTGACCAGTTCCTGACCTGATCCGACCTGACCAGATTGGATTTGCCGTTTTCTGAAATGACCGGATAGAGCTAACCTGATTTGACCTAATCAGACTTCACTCTTTCATGATATAACCTAACCTGACCAGAACAAACCCGCTCGGTTGTTGATATGACCTGACCAGACCAGAACATACCTGACCCGACGTAACCTCAGCCGATTTGATCGTTTTCCAATCTACCTCCCCTAGTCAGACCTAATTGTTTCCCGATTAGACCTGACCAGACCTGACCACTTTATAATATATGACCTGACCTGACCGGATCGTTTCCTGATATTTCCTGACCCGACGTGACCTGATCAAACCTGACCGTTTCCTAAAATGATCTGACTTGATCAACCCTCACTTTTTCCTAATATGACCTGACCAGATCTAGCCGTTTCCTGATATGACCTGACCAAAACAGATCTGACCTGACCTGATCGTTTTCGAATGTAACTTGACTGAACCTCACCATTTCCTGGGCTGTTCCGAACTTCCCTGATCAAACTTAACCGTTTTCTAAAATGACCTGACCGGACCTGACCTGATCATTTTCTGATGTAACTTGACCAAACATGATCATTTCCTAAAATAACCTGACCAGAGCTGACCTCATTTAACATAAGCAGATCTCACTCTTTCCTGATATAACCTGACTAGACCTAACCGTTTCCTAACATGACCTGAGCTGACTTGACCATTTTATAATCTGATATAAGCGTTTTCTGACATGACCTTCTGGCAGAACTGACCTTTCCTAGTATGACCTGACGCGCCGAGATCTGACCTGACCTGACGTGACGTGATTGACCAGACTAGATCTGACCGGTTCTTGGCGTGACGTGATGCGATCATACTATGATTTGACTTGACCTGACCTGATCATTTCCTGATATTACCTGACCCGATCTGACCTGCTCAAAACCTGACTGTTTCCTAAAATGACCTGATCAGACCTGACTGCTTCCTGATTAGATCTGACTTGCCTTGACCGTTTCCTAATATGGCCTGACCAGATCAAATTTGACTGGCCCGATCTGACGTAATCGATTTCTTAGATAAGGTGATCAGACCTGACCATTTCCTGACCTAATCCGATCTGACCAGATCAGATTTGACTGTTTTCTGATTTAACGTGATCAGACCTGACCTGATTTGATAAAAAATTGCAAAGTAAAGATCGAAACTCTAAAAACAAAAAATAGAATTAAAAAAATGAGTAAGACGAGAGATTAAAAAAAATCGAAAAATTGAAAAGTCTAAACTGAAAAATTTCGTATAATTTGAAGAATTTAATCGGAAAAAGTGGAAAGTTTTAAAATTTGAAAAATCGAGAAATTGCAAATTTATAAACTGGAAAAATTGAAAAATAGGGGACTAATTGAAAAAAATCCAAAATTAAAATGTTTAAAAGTTTTAAAAACAAAAAATTTCAAAATAAATATCGGAAAACTGAAAAATAAACATTTCAAAATTGGAACATCCAAAAATTGCAAAATTATAAGATGAAAAAGTCGAAAAATTGAAGTAACGAAAAATCGAAAACTCGAAACTAAAAAATTCGCACTTGAAAAATAAAAAAAATTGAAATTTGAAGACTTAAATCGGAAAAAATGGAAATTGAAAAATCGAAAAATTGCTAAATTATAAAAAATAAAAATTGAAAAATCGGAGAGTAATTGAAAAAATCAAAAATTAAAATATTTAAATGTTTTAAAACCAAAAAATTTCAAAATAAAAGGAAAAACTGAAAAACTTAAAATAGAATAATTAAAATATCGAGGAAGTAAAAATCTAGAAATTCAAACATACACAGCATTGAGAAATCCAAAAATTTCAAAATTGGAAAATCCAAAAATTGCAAAATTATAAAATGAAATAATCGAGCAGTAATTGAAAAAATAAAAAATAAGATTATAAAAAAAATGGAAAACTAAGTCTGGAACGTTGAAAAATCAAAAAACTTGAAACTGAAAAATCGAAAAACTGAGAAATTGCAAACTAAAAATCTAAACACAAAAAAAAAACAAAAACGGAGTTAAAAAATCAGAAAGATCAAAATTGAAAAATTAATAAATGAAGAAATTGAAAACCACAAATCCAAAAATTAAAGAAAAGAAAAACTGAAAAATCGAACAATTGGAAAAAATTACAAAAATCCAAAAGTCGAAACTGAAAAATTTCGCATTTGAAAAATCAAAAAATTTAAAATTTGAACAATTGAATCGGAAAAAATGGAAAGTTTTAAAAATTGAAAAAACGAAAAATTGCAAAATTATAAAATAGAAAAATTGAAAAATAAAGGATTAATTGAAAAAAATCAAAAATTAAAATATTTAAAAGTTTTAAAAACAAAAGATTTCAAAATAAATATCGAAAACCTGAAAAATTTAAAAAAGAATAATGAAAAAATAGAGTAACTAACGGTCTAAAAATTCAAAAGTTCACAGAATTGAGAAATCCAAAAATTTCAAAATTGGAAAATCCAAAAAATTGCAAAATTATAAAATGAAATAATCGAAAAATTGAAAAGTCGAAACTGAAAAATTTCGCATTTGAAAAATCAAAAGATTTAAAATTTGAAGAATTTAATCGGAAAAAGTGGAAAGTTTTAAAAATTGAAAAATCGAGAAATTGCAAATTTGTAAACTGGGAAAATTGAAAAATAGGGAACTAATTGAAAAAAATCCAAAATTAAAATGTTTAAAAGTTTTAAAAACAAAAAATTTCAAAATAAATATCGAAAAACTGAAAAATTTTGAATAGAATAAGTAAAAAATCGAGAAATTGAAAATCTAGAAAACCAAAAATTCACAGCATTAAAAAATCCAAACATTTCAAAATTGGAACATCCAAAAATTGCAAAATTATAAGATGAATAAGTCGAAAAATTGAAGTAACGAAAAATCGAAAATTCGAAAGTAAAAAATTTCGCACTTGAAAAATCAAAAAATTTGAAATTTGAAGACTTAAATCGGAAAAAATGGAAATTGAAAAATCGAAAAATTACAAAATTATAAGATGGGAAAATTGAAAAATCGGAGAGTAATCGAAAAAATCAAAAATTAAAATATTTAAATGTTTTTAAACCAAAAAATTTCAAAATGAAAATGGAAAAACTGAAAAATTTAAAATATAATAATAAAAAAATCGGGGAACTAAAAATCTAGAAATTCAAACATTCACAGCATCGAGAAATCCAAAATTTTCAAAATTGGAAAATCCAAAAATTGCAAAATTATAAAATGAACTAATCGAAAAATTGAATAATCGAGCAGTAATTGAAAAAATAAAAAATAAGATTATTAAAAAAAATGGAAAACCAAGTCTGGAACGTTGAAAAATCAAAAAACTTGAAATTGAAAAGTCGAAAAACTGAGAAATTGCAAACTAAAAATCTAAACACATAAAAAAACAAATACGGAGGTAAAAAATCAGGAAGATCAAAATTGAAAAATCAATAAATGAAAACCCCAAATCCAAAAATTATAGGAAAGAAAAATTGAAAATTCGAACAATTGCAAAATTATAAAATGGAAAAATTGAAAAATCGAGGGCTATTTAAAAAAAATCAAATATAAAAATTTTTAAACGTTTTAAAACCAAAAAATTTCAAAATAAATATCGAAAAACTGAAAAATTTAAAATAGGATAATTAAAAAATCCAGCAATTGAAACATCCACAGCATTTCAAAATCCAAAAATTTCAAAATTAGAAAATCCAAAAATTGCATAATTATAAAAAGAAAAAATCAAAAAATTGAATAATCGAGGACTAATTGAACAAATAAAAAATAAGGTTATTAAAAATATGGAAAACTAATTCTGGAACGTTGAAAAATATAAAAACTTCAAAATGAAAAATCGAAAAACTGAGAAATTGCAAACTAAAAATCTAAACACAAAAAAAACAAAAACGGAGTTAAAAAATTAGAAAGATCAAAACTGAAAAATTAATAAATTAAGAAATTGAAAACCACAAATCCAAAAATTAAAGAAAAGAAAAATTGAGAAATCGAACAATTGCAAAAAATTACAAATCGAAAAGTCGAAACTGAAAAATTTCGCATTTGAAAAATCAAAAAATTTAAAATTTGAAGAATTGAATCGGAAAAAATGGAAAGTTTTAAAAATTAAAAAATCGAAAAATTGCAAAATTATAAAATAGAAAAATTGAAAAATAAAGGACTAATTGACCTGACCTGACCTGACCTGACCTGACCTGACGTGACGTGATTTGACCAGACCAGATCTGACCGGTTCTTGGCGTGACGTGATGCGATCATACTATGATTTGACTTGACCTGACCTGATCATTTCCTGATATTACCTGACCCGATCTGACCTGCTCAAAACCTAACTGTTTCCTAAAATGACTTGATCAGACCTGACTGCTTCCTGATTAGATCTGACTTGCCTTGACCGTTTTCTAATTTGGCCTGACTAGATCAAATTTGACTGGCCTGATCTGACCTGATCGATTTCTTAGATAACTTGATCAGACCTGACCAGTTCCTGACCTAATCCGATCTGACCAGATCAGATTTGACTGTTTTCTGATTTAACGTGATCAGACCTGACCTGATTTGATAAAAAAATTGCAAAGTAAAGATCGAAACTTTAAAAACAAAAAATGGAATAAAAAAAATAAGAAAGACGAAAGATTTAAAAAAAATCGAAAACTTGAAAAGTCGAAACTGAAAAATTTCGCATTTGAAAAATCAAAAAATTTAAAATTTGAAGAATTTAATCGAAAAAGTGGAAAGTTTTAAAATTTGAAAAATCGAGAAATTGCAAATTTATAAACTGGAAAAATTGAAAAATAGGGGACTAATTGAAAAAAATCCAAAATTAAAATGTTTAAAAGTTTTAAAAACAAAAAATTTCAAAATAAATATCGGAAAACTGAAAAATAAACATTTCAAAATTGGAACATCCAAAAATTGCAAAATTATAAGATGAAAAAGTCGAAAAATTGAAGTCACGAAAAATCGAAAAGTCGAAAGTAAAAAATTTGAAATTTGAAGACTAAAATCGGAAAAATGGAGATTGAAAAATCGAAAAATTACAAAATTATAAAATGGAGAAATTGAAAAATCGGAGAGTAATTGAAAAAATCAAAAATTAATATATTTAAATGTTTTAAAACCAAAAAATTTCAAAATAAAAATGGAAAAACTGAAAAACTTAAAATAGAATAATTAAAAAATCTAGGAACTGAAAATGTAGAAATTCAAACATTCACAGCATTGAGAAATCCAAAAATTTCAAAATTGGAAAATCCAAAAATTGCAGAATTATAAAATGAAATAATCGAAAAATTGAAAAGTCGAAATTGAAAAATTTCGCATTTGTAAAATCAAAAGATTTAAAATTTGAAGAATTTAATCGGAAAAAGTGGAAAGTTTTAAAAATTGAAAAAACGAAAAATTGCAAAATTATAAAATGGAAAAATTGAAAAATAGGGGACTAATTGAAAAAAATACAAAATTAAAATGTTTAAAAGTTTTAAACACAAAAAATTTCAAAATAAATATCGAGAAACTGAAAAATTTTAAATAGAATAATTAAAAAATCGAGGAATTAAAAATCTAGAAATCCAAAAATTCACAGCATTAAAAAATCCAAACATTTCAAAATTGGAACATCCAAAAATTGCAAAATTATAAGATGAAAAAGTCGAAAAATTGAAGTAACGAAAAATCGAAAATTCGAAAGTAAAAAATTTCGCACTTGAAAAATCAAAAAATTTGAAATTTGAAGACTTAAATCGGAAAAAATGGAGATTGAAAAATCGAAAAATTACAAAATTATAAAATGGAAAAATTGAAAAATCGGAGAGGAATTGAAAAAATCAAAAATTAATATATTTAAATGTTTTAAAAACAAAAGATTTCAAAATGAATATCGAAAAACTGAAAAATTTAAAATAGAATAATTAAAAAATCGGGGAACTAAAAATCTAGAAATTCAAACATTCACAGCATTGAGAAATCCAAAATTTTCAAAATTGGAAAATCCAAAAATTGCAAAATTATAAAATGAAATAATCGAAAAATTGAATAATCGAGCAGTAATTGAAAAAAAAATGAGATTATTAAAAAAAAATGGAAAACCAAGTCTGGAACGTTGAAAAATCAAAAAACTTGAAATTGAAAAATGGAAAAACTGAGAAATTGCAAACTAAAAATCTAAACACATAAAAAAACAAATACGGAGGTAAAAAATCAGGAAGATCAAAATTGAAAAATCAATAAATGAAAACCCCAAATCCAAAAATTATAGGAAAGAAAAATTGAAAATTCGAACAATTGCAAAATTATAAAATGGGAAAATTGAAAAATTGAGGACTAATTGAAAAAAATCAAATATAAAAATTTTTAAATGTTTTAAAACCAAAAATTTCAAAATAAATATCGAAAAACAGAAAAATTTAAAATAGGATAATTAAGAAATCCAGGAATTGAAACATTCACAGCATTTCAAAATCCAAAAATTTCAAAATTAGAAAATCCAAAAATTGCATAATTATAAAAAGAAAAAATTGAATAATCGAGGACTAATTGAACAAATAAAAAATAAGGTTATTAAAAAAATGGAAAACTAATTCTGGAACGTTGAAAAATATAAAAACTTCAAAATGAAAAATCGAAAAACTGGGAAATTGCAAACTAAAAATCTAAACACAAAAAAAGACAAAAACGGAGTTAAAAAATCAGGAAGATCAAAATTGAAAAATTAATAAATGAAGAAATTGAAAACCACAGATCCAAAAATTAAAGAAAAGAAAAATTGAGAAATCGAACAATTGCAAAAAATTACAAATCGAAAAGTCGAAACTGAAAAATTTCGCATTTGAAAAATCAAAAAATTTAAAATTTTAACAATTGAATCGGAAAAAATGGAAAGTTTTAAAAATTGAAAAATCGAAAAATTGCAAAATTATAAAATGGAAAAATTGAAAAATAGAGGACTAATTGAAGAAAATCAAAAATTAAAATATTTAAAAGTTTTAAAAACAAAAGATTTCAAAATAAATATCGAAAAACTGAAAAATTTAAAATAGAATAATTAAAACATAGCGGAACTAACGGTCAAAAGTTCACAGCATTCAAAAATCCAAAAATTTCAAAATTATAAAATGAAAAAATCGAGAACTAATTGAAAAAATAAAAAATAAGATTATTAAAAAAATGGAAAACTAATTCTGGAACGTTGACAAATTGAAAAATTAATAAATGAAGAAATTGAAAACCACAAATCCAAAAATTAAGGAAAAGAAAATCTGAAAAATCGAACAATTGGAAAATTATAAAGGAACAAAATCGAAAAATTGACACATCGAAAATTAAAATATCTGAGAAACATAAAATTGAAAACTAGAAAAATTGTAAATCGAAAAATTAAGAAAACGACAAACTGAAACTTTCGTTTCTTCAGTCTCTCGTTTTTTTAAATTTCCAAGAAATTGGAAATCGAAAACTTGAAAAATTGGAAAATAAAAATCTAAAATTAGACCGATGAAAAAATCAAAAAAATCGAAAAATGATAGAATGGATCCAAAAGTAGTAATCGAATGGATAAATTGTAAAAACAAAAAATAAAAAAAGATAATTAAAAAATCGGAAAACTTGAAAAACCGAAACGAAAAATTGAAAAACTAATAATCGAGGAATGAGAAATCGAACAAATCGAAAATTACAATATCTAAAAATTGATACATTGACAAACTAACAATTGAAAACTAAAAAAATTACAAAGAAACGCAAAATTGTAAAAAACGGGTATTTGAACAATTCAAAATCGAGAAATTGAAATATTCAAAATGAAGGAATTTATAAATCCAAAAATTAGATTTGACCAGATCTGACCGTTTTCTAATTTTACATTTGGCGAGACCTGACCTGACCTAACCTGTCTTAACTGTTTCTGACCAGACCTGTCCTACCCTGCCCCATTCAACCACGAAATTTTCCCAACCAAAAACATCATAGCTTTAAAAATTCACGTGAAGATCAGCACTTCTCCAACTCCATCTGTTCGGTAAACCCAGTATATCTCGACTCAAATTGACCATTTTTTTCGATTTTGCAGGGGCACCGCCATGGGCGTCGTCTGCTTCTACACCTACGTAACCTCCTGCATCTGCTACTACGCCCTCAACATCAGCAGCCAGAGCTTCCTCGCCATCCTCGCCGCCGTATTCTTCGGTACGCCCCTCCCAATTTCATAAACACACAAACACGACCACAACAGTAAAATAATCCAAACCATTTTGAAATCGTTAAGAGTATAAAATTTCCCGATATAAACACCCAAAATCTATTTTTACGAATGCACGTGCTCTTGTTGCAATGGACGATGGTACTGGCGATATGTTACAAGAATAACTCGAAGAATTTGTTCGCAGGAAGTTCTTTGCTGGCTTGCTTCGTGCCGGAAATGCGAGGAAGGCCCATGATGGAATGAGCGACGACGAAGAAGAATCGCCTTTTGGGCTAAGGAGAAATAAAATTTTAAGTTCTTTGAGAGTGTTTGGGTTTAAATTTAGAGAGTATCGAATTTGTTTTATTACGATCGACGTCAGCGATCAATAACTAAATACAAATTCCATATTTTACACCGACAAATTTTAAACTATGCAGAGTAAATAAACACGAGTTAAATGGAAAACACATGGCCGGCAGTAAAATAGGACTCGGAATATGACTCATTATTTTCGATAAGTTGAAGAGGAATTTTTTCGCGAGTGTCGACAGAGAAGTTCAAATAAATTTCGAACTGATTACCTGCAACACGGCGCACGTCAATCACGAAGGAATGACCACATAAACATTTGTCGTTTGATTTTCTATTGTAAATGACGTATCTCCTCGTATAGTAAACACCGCTCCTCTCAAATACACACAACTAAATTTAGTAACTCCAGTAAATTTTGTGTTGTGCTACGGAAATGTTTTTTTGTTTTTAGCGAGAATTCCGTTGTAAAAACAAATCACTGATAGTTAAAAAAATATTTTTCTGTTCTAGAACAAGTGTACCGAACGTCAGGTTTAATTTTTTTCTTGTCATAAAAACGAAATTAATTAATTAAAAAAAAAACCCGAAAATTGGTGATGTTTTAAGTTTGGAGCAAATTCGCACACTTGTATCCTCAAAAACTGAAAAATTATAATTGTAATAAGGGATCACTAAGATTTATAAATAGATCACTCTGTATATTTTTTACATTTTTGTGTAAAATTACAGATTTTCATCGTTCAAAATGGAGTAAGAACATTTTGATATGTATGAAGATAAAAACGAAAAAACTGAAAAATCCTGTACAACTGGATCACTCTGTATATATAGTTGGTAAAATTGCTAGAATTTTCAAAAATAACGCACTTGCATTTTAAAAATGGTGTGACTACAACTTTTTTAACTCGAAAAACTGACGATTTATAAATGGATCAATCTGTATAAATAAAATAAACTATCGAAAAAAAATTATAACATTTTAAAAAATGAAAAAATTTAAAAATTCAGAAGTTTCTCAAAGTCGAAAAACTGAAAAATGTTAAGTTTAACACTAAAAAGTTATAAAATTGTGAAACTAAAAAGGAAATTCAAGTTAAGTGAAAGATAAAAATGAATAATGTGAAAATTCAAAAAATTGAAAAATTTGAAAGTTTAAAAATCGATAAACCAAAAATTTTTGAAATCGTAGAACTGAAATCGTAAAATTTGAAGATCGAAAAATCGAAAAATTGTAAATTTGTAAACCTAAAAATGCGAAATTGAAAAATTGAAATTTTAAAATGAAGTAAACCAAAAAATCGAAAAGCTCAAAATCGTGAAACTGAAAAATTGAAAAATCGAAAAATTAAATGAGAAAAATCTGAAAAATCTAAATTGAAAATCCAAAACTGAAAAATTCACAAGTTCAAAAATCGAATAACTGAAAAATTTGAAAATCGTACAACTGCTTTGTAAAATTTGAAGATCGAAAAATCGAAAAATTGTAAATTTGTAAAACTAAAAATGCGAAATTGAAAAATTCAAGTTTTAAAATGAAGAAAACCAAAAAATCGAAAAACTCAAAATCGTGAAACTGAAAAATTGAAAAAGCGAAAAATTTAATAGGAAGAATTTGAAAAATCGAAAATTGAAAATCCAAAACTGAAACATTCAAAAGTTCAAAAATCGAAAAACTGAAAAATTTGAAAATCGTAGAACTGCTTTGTAAAATTTGAAGATCGGAAAATCGAATGTATGAAGATAAAAACGAAAAAACTGAAAAATCCTGTACAACTGGATCACTCTGTATATATAGTTCGTAAAATTGCTAAAATTTTCAAAAATAACGCACTTCCATTTTAAAAATGGTATGACTACAACTTTTTTAACTCGAAAAACTGACGATTTGTAAATGGATCACTCTGTATAAATAAAATAAACTATCGAAAAAAAATTATAACATTTTAAAAAATGAAAAAATTTAAAAATTCAGAAGTTTCTCAAAGTCGAAAAACTGAAAAATGTTAAGTTTAACACTCAAAAAGTTATAAAATTGTGAAACTAAAAATGGGAAATTCAAGTTAAGTGAAAGATAAAAATGGATAATGTGAAAATTCAAAAAATTGAAAAATTTGAAAGTTTAAAAATCGATAAACCAAAAATTTTTGAAATCGTAGAACTGAAATCGTAAAATTTGAAGATCGAAAAATCGAAAAATTGTAAATTTGTAAACCTAAAAATGGGAAATTGAAAAATTGAAATTTTAAAATGAAGTAAACCAAAAAATCGAAAAGCTCAAAATCGTGAAACTGAAAAATTGAAAAATCGAAAAATTAAATGAGAAAAATCTGAAAAATCTAAATTGAAAATCCAAAACTGAAAAATTCACAAGTTCAAAAATCGAATAACTGAAAAATTTGAAAATCGTAGAACTGCTTTGTAAAATTTGAAGATCTAAAAATGGAAAAATTGTAATTTGTAAAACTAAAAATGGGAAATTGAAAAATTCAAGTTTTAAAATGAAGAAAACCAAAAAAGCGAAAAACTCAAAATCGTGAAACTGAAAAATTGAAAAATCGAAAAATTAAATAAGAATATGAAAAATCGAAAATTGAAAATCCAAAACTGAAAAATTCAAAAGTTCAAAAATCGAATAACTGAAAAATTTGAAAATCGTACAACTGCTTTGTAAAATTTGAAGATCGAAAAATCGAAAAATCGTAAATTTGTAAAACTAAAAATGCGAAATTGAAAAATTCAAGTTTTAAAATGAAGAAAACCAAAAAATCGAAAAACTCAAAATCGTGAAACTGAAAAATTGAAAACTCGAAAAACTAAAGAAGAATCTGAAAAATCGATAACTGAAAATCCAAAACTGAAAAATTCAAAAGTTCAAAAATCGAAAAACTGAAAAATTTGAAAATCGTAGAACTGCTTTGTAAAATTTGAAGATCGAAAAATCGAAAAATCGTAAATTTGTAAAACTAAAAATGCGAAATTAAAAAATGCAGGTTTTAAAATGAAGTAAACCAAAAAATCGAAAAGCTCAAAGTCGTGAAACTGAAAAATTGAAAAATCGAAAAATGAAATAAGAAGACTCTGAAAAATCTAAAATTGAAAATCCAAAACTGAAAAATTCACAAGTTCAAAAATCGAATAACTGAAAAATTTGAAAATCGTAGAACTGCTTTGTAAAATTTGAAGATCTAAAAATGGAAAAATTGTAATTTGTAAAACTAAAAATGGGAAATTGAAAAATTCAAGTTTTAAAATGAAGAAAACCAAAAAAACGAAAAACTCAAAATCGTGAAACTGAAAAATTGAAAAATCGAAAAATTAAATAAGAATATGAAAAATCGAAAATTGAAAATCCAAAACTGAAAAATTCAAAAGTTCAAAAATCGAAAAACTGAAAAATTTGAAAATCGTACAACTGCTTTGTAAAATTTGAAAATCGAAAAATCGAAAAATTGTAAATTTGTAAAACTAAAAATGCGAAATTGAAAAATTCAAGTTTTAAAATGAAGAAAACCAAAAAATCGAAAAACTCAAAATCGTGAAACTGAAAAATTGAAAAAGCGAAAAATTTAATAGGAAGAATTTGAAAAATCGAAAATTGAAAATCCAAAACTGAAACATTCAAAAGTTCAAAAATCGAAAAACTGAAAAATTTGAAAATCGTAGAACTGCTTTGTAAAATTTGAAGATCGGAAAATCGAATGTATGAAGATAAAAACGAAAAAACTGAAAAATCCTGTACAACTGGATCACTCTGTATATATAGTTCGTAAAATTGCTAAAATTTTCAAAAATAACGCACTTCCATTTTAAAAATGGTATGACTACAACTTTTTTAACTCGAAAAACTGACGATTTGTAAATGGATCACTCTGTATAAATAAAATAAACTATCGAAAAAAAATTATAACATTTTAAAAAATGAAAAAATTTAAAAATTCAGAAGTTTCTCAAAGTCGAAAAACTGAAAAATGTTAAGTTTAACACTCAAAAAGTTATAAAATTGTGAAACTAAAAATGGGAAATTCAAGTTAAGTGAAAGATAAAAATGGATAATGTGAAAATTCAAAAAATTGAAAAATTTGAAAGTTTAAAAATCGATAAACCAAAAATTTTTGAAATCGTAGAACTGAAATCGTAAAATTTGAAGATCGAAAAATCGAAAAATTGTAAATTTGTAAACCTAAAAATGCGAAATTGAAAAATTGAAATTTTAAAATGAAGTAAACCAAAAAATCGAAAAGCTCAAAATCGTGAAACTGAAAAATTGAAAAATCGAAAAATTAAATGAGAAAAATCTGAAAAATCTAAATTGAAAATCCAAAACTGAAAAATTCACAAGTTCAAAAATCGAATAACTGAAAAATTTGAAAATCGTACAACTGCTTTGTAAAATTTGAAGATCGAAAAATCGAAAAATTGTAAATTTGTAAAACTAAAAATGCGAAATTGAAAAATTCAAGTTTTAAAATGAAGAAAACCAAAAAATCGAAAAACTCAAAATCGTGAAACTGAAAAATTGAAAAATCGAAAAACTAAAGAAGAATCTGAAAAATCGATAACTGAAAATCCAAAACTGAAAAATTCAAAAGTTCAAAAATCGAAAAACTGAAAAATTTGAAAATCGTAGAACTGCTTTGTAAAATTTGAAGATCTAAAAATGGAAAAATTGTAATTTGTAAAACTAAAAATGGGAAATTGAAAAATTCAAGTTTTAAAATGAAGAAAACCAAAAAAGCGAAAAACTCAAAATCGTGAAACTGAAAAATTGAAAAATCGAAAAATTAAATAAGAATATGAAAAATCGAAAATTGAAAATCCAAAACTGAAAAATTCAAGAGTTCAAAAATCGAAAAACTGAAAAATTTTTGAAATCGTAGAACTGAAATCGTAAAATTTGAAGATCGAAAAATCGAAAAATTGTAAATTTGTAAACCTAAAAATGCGAAATTGAAAAATTGAAATTTTAAAATGAAGTAAACCAAAAAATCGAAAAGCTCAAAATCGTGAAACTGAAAAATTGAAAAATCGAAAAATTAAATGAGAAGAATCTGAAAAATCTAAAATTGAAAATCCAAAACTGAAAAATTCAAAAGTTCAAAAATCGAAAAACTGAAAAATTTGAAAATCGTAGAACTACTTTGTAAAATTTGAAGATCGAAAAATCGAAAAATTGTAAATTTGTAAAACTAAAAATGCGAAATTAAAAAATTCAGGTTTTAAAATGAAGTAAACCAAAAAATTGAAAAGCTCAAAGTCGTGAAACTGAAAAATTGAAAAATCGAAAAACTAAAGAAGAAGAATCTGAAAAATCTAAAATTGAAAATCCAAAACTGAAAAATTCAAAAGTTCAAAAATCGAAAAACTGAAAAATTTGAAAATCGTAGAACTACTTTGTAAAATTTGAAGATCGAAAAATTGTAATTTGTAAAACTAAAAATGGGAAATTGAAAAATTCAAGTTTTAAAATGAAGAAAACCAGAAACCGAAAAGCTCAAAATCGTGAAACTGAAAAATTGAAAAATCGAAAAATTAAATGAGAAGAATCTGAAAAATCGAAATTGAAAATCCAAAACTGAAAAATTCGAAAGTTCAAAAATCGAATAACTGAAAAATTTGAAAATCATACAACTGCTTTGTAAAATTTGAAGATCGAAAAATTGTAAATTTGTAAAACTAAAAATGCGAAATTGAAAAATTCAAGTTTTAAAATGAAGAAAACCAAAAAATCGAAAAACTCAAAATCGTGAACCTGAAAAATTGAAAAAGCGAAAAATTTAATAGGAAGAATTTGAAAAATCGAAAATTGAAAATCCAAAACTGAAACATTCAAAAGTTCAAAAATCGAAAAACTGAAAAATTTGAAAATCGTACAACTGCTTTGTAAAATTTGAAGATCGAAAAATCGAAAAATTGTAAATTTGTAAAACTAAAAATGCGAAATTGAAAAATTCAAGTTTTAAAATGAAGAACACCAAAAAATCGAAAAACTCAAAATCGTGAAACTGAAAAATTGAAAAATCGAAAAACTAAAGAAGAAGAATCTGAAAAATCGATAACTGAAAATCCAAAACTGAAAAATTCAAAAGTTCAAAAATCGAAAAACTGAAAAATTTGAAGATCGTACAACTGCTTTGTAAAATTTGAAGATCTAAAAATGGAAAAATTGTAATTTGTAAAACTAAAAATGGGAAATTGAAAAATTCAAGTTTTAAAATGAAGAAAACCAGAAACCGAAAAGCTCAAAATCGTGAAACTGAAAAATTGAAAAATCGAAAAATTAAATAGAATCTGAAAAATCGAAATTGAAAATCCAAAACTGAAACATTCAAAAGTTCAAAAATCGAAAAACTGAAAAATTTGAAAATCGTACAACTGCTTTGTAAAATTTGAAGATCGAAAAATTGTAAATTTGTAAAACTAAAAATGCGAAATTGAAAAATTCAAGTTTTAAAATGAAGAAAACCAAAAAATCGAAAAGCTCAAAATCGTGAACCTGAAAAATTGAAAAAGCGAAAAATTTAATAGGAAGAATTTGAAAAATCGAAAACTGAAAATCCAAAACTGAAACATTCAAAAGTTCAAAAATCGAAAAACTGAAAAATTTGAAAATCGTAGAACTGCTTTGTAAAATTTGAAGATCGAAAAATCGAATGTATGAAGATAAAAACGAAAAAACTGAAAAATCCTGTACAACTGGATCACTCTGTATATATAGTTCGTAAAATTGCTAAAATTTTCAAAAATAACGCACTTCCATTTTAAAAATGGTGTGGCTATAACTTTTTTAACTCGAAAAACTGACGATTTATAAATGGATCACTCTGTATAAATAGCTTATCTTATAATACTACTCAGTTTTTATATTTTTTTGAAGTCGAAACGAGTCAGGGTTTTGAGCATAATGTTTTGTGGAAAATGGGGATAAACATCCTGTATAAGTATATGATATATATGATATACCCAGTTATTTATATTTTTGTAAAGCTAAAGCAATCACAGACTCTCACCTTGAAAACGAAAATATAATCATATATTCTAGACTCAGATCATCCTGTATACACAAAAATATGTACACCCTGTATAAGTGGCTGTAGTAACTATTGTAGATTTTCCGTAAAGCTCAATCAATGCAGACTTCCATGTTTAAAAACGTAACAGAAAACTGTCACCTATAAACAAATCACCCTATAAATATATATCGACCTCCACATTTTTTCCATTTTTTTTTTTTTGTAAAACTGCAGATTTTCATCCTTCAAACTGTAATAAGAACACTTTGATCTGCATGAAGATAAAAGACAAACCGAATCAGCCTGTATAATTGGATCACCCTGTATATATAAACCGTAAAGTTACATACATTTTTGAAAAATAACAGACTTCAATTTTGAAAATAGCTCCATATTAAATTTTTCAGGTTGAAAAACTGACGATTTGTAAATGGATCACCCTGTATAAATAGCGCACATTATAAAACTTCTCAGTTTTTCATGCTCTTTTAAATCTAAAACCACACAGACTTCCAAAACAAAAATATTGTTATATATTCTACACTGAGATCACCTGTACACATAGAAATATGAACACCCGGTATAAGTGGCGATAGTTTACCCAACCCTTGTAGATTTTCGTAAAGCCAAATCAATACAGATTTTTAAAAACGCAAAAATAGTCATTTAGTAAGAGAAAACTGGGGTCTATAAATAGATCACCCTGTAGACATAGATCATAACCTCCACAGTTTTTTACAATTTGGTGTAAAACGACAGATCTTCACCCTTCAAACTGGAGTAAGAACATTTTGATTTGTACGAAGATAAAAACGAATAAACCGAATCGCCCTGTATATATAAACCGTAAATTTTCTTTTAAAGCAGAAAAACTGACGATTTGTAAATGGATCACTCTGTATAAATAGCTTATCTCATATAATAATAATGCTCAGTTTTTCATATTTTTCTTACTTGAAAACGAAAATAGTCATATATTCTACACTCAGACCATCTGCAAACATAGAAATACGAACACCCTGTATAAGTTGTGATAGTATGCCCAACTATTGTAAAATTTTCGTAAAGCTAAATCAATACAGGCCTCCATTTTAAAAAACGAAAAAATAGTTTTTTAGAAAGATGTCTATAAATAGATCACCCTGTAGACATAGATCAATCGCCTCATTTTTTTACATTTTTTTTTTCTAAAACTAAAGTTTTTTCTTCAAACTGGAATAAAAACATTTCGAGTTGTATGAAAATAAAAACGAACAAATCGAATCAGCCTATATAGTTGAATCACACTGTATATTATATAAATAGCGCAATTATAATTTTTTCAGCTTGAAAAACCGACGACTGGTAAATTGATTTTTACATCCAAAAACAGAAGTATTTTTTATTGTGACAAAAAACTGTAATCTACATATGGACCACCCTGTAGATATAGATCACAACCTCCACATTTTTTACATTTTCATGCAAAATCGCAGGCTTTCATCCTAAGCGTTTTATATTTATGAATCCCACTGTATATTTAAAAAATACTACAACAATGCTGAAGATAGTTAGTGAACGAAATTTTGCACTACGTCACGGTAACCATAGCAACCATTTCTAGGACACCGTGTATATGCAAACAACAAAGAAACATCTCGGATCACATACCCAAATTAAGCATTCAACATTAAAAAATTCTGGACTTCCTTGAACGACCTTCCAGCTCGCGGATACCCATGATGACGTCATACCGAAAACTGGTCACCTAAGTCCCGGAACGTAAACTAAACTGAAACTTATGCACGCAGAAAGAAAAGGGAGCACCAGTTTTCATTTTCACGCACTCACGACGCGTTTTCCGGCAGAATTTTCTGAAAATTGGAAAAGTTCGCGGATTCGTTGACATTTTCGCTTTTCGCGGATCGCGCAGGGCTGCCAACTGAAAGTGTGTACTACGTTACGTGGCAAGATGGCATGGATGGCGGCAATTTTAAATAATGATTTATTATTTTCAGATAAAATTGACTCAGACAGAATTATTAATTAATTACATTTAAAACAGGGGTTTAAAGCAACACGTGACGTGGTTGGCACGTGACAAGATGGCCCCGACTAAGGCGGCAAGTTTGAATTTTGGTAAATCAAAAATCACCAGAGAAAACCCGTTTTACACAGGTTAAAAATGAAAAATAAGAAAAACTAAAGGTGAGAATATTACCTATCCCTCGTTAATATTTTGTCGGCCCCCCTCCCGCCGCCGCCCATTAGTACCGTGTGCCAATGCTAAGTATAACCCTCCGGCGGCGTCGCGACGCTCCGGTCAGTCTCTCGAGCGTCCCGACGTGCGTCTAACCGTGCAACATGTGACGATGAGTGAAAACATTCCTTCACTACCTCGCAGGCGGTCCCGCAGACACCTCGACGTGAGCCGCCTCCCGACGCCGCCCCCCGACCCCACCGACAAGGACGACTTCCTCGTCTACCTCGACGGCCTGCAGAAGTCCACCCTCCTCTACTCGCGCTCCACGTCCGCCGTCGAGGATGCCTTCGACCACCTCGACAAGCTCTACCGCCTCATGGAGCAGATGCTCGAGCTGCGCGAGCAGAACGCCCGCCTCCACCGGCGCATCCGCGACCTGGAGCACCTCAACAACCTGGAGAAGATGCACAAGGAGCTGGACGAGCGCGCCGAGTGCCCCGAGCTGGACAAGGACACGGCCTTCGCCGAGACCATCCTGGAGTCCATCCTGGCGGAGGCCAAGCCGAAGAAGGCGAAGCGCCAGAGCGTGATGCGCAGGAACAGGAGCGGCTCGGTGTCGGTGGCGGCGGTCCACCGCCAGGAGAGCCGGCGCGCGTCGGAGTGCGTGGGCGGCGACAAGAAGAAGGTGTCCAAGTGGACGAAGGTGAAGGCGGCGTTCAAGTGGGAGAAGGCGGCGCCGAACGTGAGCGACGCCAAGTCGCAGGACAGCGGCATCGGGGGCGTGGGGGTGGGACCGGCGCTGGAGGTGGCGAGGTACCTGAGGGTGCCGTCGTGCGACGAGCACGGACACAGTGGGGACTCGGGGGCGGCGGAGGTGTCCACGCCGGGGACGCTGAGCGCGGCGTCGTCGGTGGAGGAGTTCCACAGGGGCGGTAAGAGCGTCATTAACGTAAAACGCGAAACAAACCGGTCCGACATCGAACCCCTGCACCACTCCGATTAATTTACCTCGAATCATAATCTAGCCAAATCATAAAAATATTACCCGTTTCATCATCCGACGTCTAAATTTAGCCCACGGGATGCAAACTATGAAACGATGATGCACAAAAAATCGACCCTAGTTATTTTAGTTATTTTTACCCGTAATCAGCGTCGGTCCGAGGCGATGACAAAAAGACCGAAACTAGTCCATAAATATTGAATCTGGGGTATTTATAAAGCGCGAATATTACTTGGAGGAATTGGGTTACTCAAACACTTTGACACCGTCAAAAATAAAATCGATCGTGGTTCGATCGTTCGACACATTTTTCTGGCGTTGTCTAAACAGGACCGCTCAAAAAGCGGCTTTTGCACTTTAAATAGAAGGTCGTAAAGCGTAATTTCCGTTACGGAATTATGTTGGTACAATAGCAATGTCACTTCCTGAAACATTGGGTTATTTTTGGGCGGCGATTTGACGGTAAAAATGGATGCAAGTTCGGCAGTGTCGAGTTACACCGGAAAAGTCCAAATTTCACGCAGTGGCGGCGGAACTATTTTCCGATTTTCCGTTTTAAGTGTTTTATGTGAAACATAAGTACGTACTAGACTGCTATCAATTTATCACTATAGAACTGTTTATGTTTATTTGGGTTGCTGGGTACCCACGCATGCTTGAATCAGCAAAACATAAACAGTAGTTTCATTGAAAAAAATTAAAGAATTTCGAATTTCCGAGGTCTTTTTATTTAAAAACATTTCGCTGGTTCCTTTTGTTTTGTTTTTTAAAAATTTAGAAATAATATCGGGCTTCATTAAAAAAAATTGAAAGAATCTTGGGGGCTGATAGCGCTTTTTTAAAGAATTTAAAAGAATTTCAAAGACCCCTGTTTCGTTTTTGAAAGAATTTGAAAGAATCTCAAGAACCCCATTTTGAAATAATTAAAAAACCCTAGGGGCTGCTGGTGTTTTGTTGTTATAAAACATTTCAATTTAAAATTTTTTTTGTAAATGAATCCGGGTTTTGAGTGTTGTTTTTTCTAATTAAAACGAATATTAGCTTGTGTTTTTTTTTATTTTAAAAGAATCTCTTATTACCTCTGGAAGAATTTGAAAACTTTTTTTTAAGTAAAAATTTGAAGGAAGCTTAATTTCCCGAGATTTTTTTAAGAATTACTATTTCCGTGTGTTTTTCTTTATATAAAAATAAGTTCAGATTTTTGAGTGTTTTTTTTTTTCTAATTAAAAGGAGTATACGTGAAATTTTGTTTCAACGAATCTTGCGGGTTCCTGCGTTTTTTTTTTTTTACAGAATTTAAAAGAATCTCAGAGAATTCTTGTATTTCGTTTTTGAAAGAATTTGAAAAAATTAAAAGCATTACACGAGCTCAAAGTGGGCTCAAAGTGGTTTATTTTTTGAAAAAATTTTAAAAAATCATGTTTTTGAAGGATTTTGTTCCCCAGGCTTTTTTTTGAAAGAATTAGCTTTATTAGCTCCCAATGTTTTATTTATTTATTTTTTTATGAAGGAATCTTAAGGTTACCTACATAAATTCGATTTTTTTCAGTGTTTTTTCTAATGAAAACGAATCTTTACGTCTCTGATGTTTTGTTTTTGAAAAATTTTAAAGAATCTGGAAAGGACCTAGTGTTTTTTGAGAGTTGAAAAAATGTTCAAGATCCCTAATGCTTTTTTGAATGACTTTAAAAGAATTTCAAGGCATTTTGCTTTTGAAAAAGTTTTAAAGTATTTCGGTGGTTCTTAGTGTTTGTTTTTAAAAATTTAAAAGAATCTCGAAGAATCTCAAGTTCCTGAGTTTTTTTTTAACTTAAATGAACTTTGGGCTTCTGATGTTCTAAATTGAAAGAATCTTAGGTTTTCCAGGTTTTTTTTTTATTAAAAGGAATCCCAGGTTTCTAAGTGTTCCTTTTTCAAAAAAATAAAAAGGATCTTTAGATGTTTACAAGCGTTTGTTTTTGTTTTTTTAATTAAAAACAATTTTGGGACCTTTAGTGGATCTCCAAGTGGTTTATTTTTTAAAGGAAAAAAAACAGTTCCTGGGTCTTTTTTTGGGAGAATTAAAAAGTGTCTTGGGGGTTCCTGTTTTTTTTTAATGATAGAATCTTAGGGTTTTCGGTTTTTTTTTTAATACATTCGGAGGGTTTTTGAATTTTTTTAATTAATAGGAATCCCAGGTTTCCAAGTGCTTTTTCAAAAAAATTAAAATAACCTCGGTTGCCCTTAGTCTATTTTAAGTTTTTAAAAAAATCGTGGAGCTCCTGGCGTTCTTTTTTTATTTAAAATAATCTCGGAACCCCTGATGTTATATTTTTGAAAGAATTTGAAAGAATTTCGGGAATCCCTAGCGCCTTTTTAAGTATTTAAAAAATCACGGGGGTTCCAAGTGGTTCATTTTTTGAAGGAACTTAAAAACATGATACAAAAAAATCTTGTAATTTCTCGTGTTTTTTTTTGCTAAGAAATTTGAAAGAATCTCGAGTTTCCGAGACTTTTTTTTTAAGAATTAGGGTTTCCGAGTGTTTTTGTTTTATATAAAAATAATTTCGGGTTTTTGAGTGTTTTTTTTCTAATTAAAAGAAATATTAGATTTCCAAGTGTTTTTTTTTTTTATTTTAAAAGAATCGCTTTTAGGTCTCTTATTATTATCATTAGCTCTAAGAACTTTGATGTTTTTTTAAAAAGTTTAAAAGGACTTCGTGGTTTCTGATGTTTTTTTTTGAATGAATTGAAAAGTATCAGAGATTTCTTGTGTTTCGTTTCTGATAGAATTTGAAAGAATTCAAAGCATCACAGGGGATCCAAGTGTTTTTTTTTTTTTTTTGAAAGAATTAAAAACGACGTTTTATTTATTTATGTTATTTTTAATCGCAAGAATCTTAGGGTTTCCTAGTGTTTTTTATAAAAACAATTTGGGTTTTTCAGTGTTTTTTAATGAAAGCGAATCTCCACATCTCTGGTGTTCTGTTTTTGAAAAATTTGAAAAAATCTCGGAGCGAGGTTCATTTTTTGAAGGAACTTAAAAGCATGAAAAAAAATCTTGTAATTTCTCGTGTTTTTTTTTTGCGAAGAAATTTGAAAGAATCTCGAGTTTCCGAGAGTTTTTTTTTAAGAATTAGGGTTTCCTAGTGTTTTTGTTTTATATAAAATAAGTTCGGCTTTTTGAGTGTTTTTTTTTTTCTAATTAAAGAAATATTAGATTTCCAAGTGTATTTTTTTTATTTTAAAAGAATCTTGGGTCACTAATGTTTTGTTTTTGAAGAACTTAAAAGAATCTTTTTAGGTCTCTTATTATTATCATTAGCTCTAAGGACTTTCATGTTTTTTTAAAAAGTTTAAAAGAACTTCGTGGTTTCTGATGTTTTTTTTTGAATGAATTGAAAAGTATCAGAGATCTCTTGTGTTTCGTTTCTGATAGAATTTGAAAGAATTCAAAGCATCACAGGCTAGTACTTGCCAAAATAAGACTGATTTTGGCAGATGTTATATCTTTGAAGAAAATAAAGGGTGGGTGGGCGGGGCTAATCCTTGCTTAGATAAGAGTGATTTTGCCAAATGGTATAGCCTCTACCTTTCATTTTCTGAGAGAGTAAATCATTTGCCAAAATCAGTTTTATCTTAGCAGGTACTAGCACCGCCCACCCACCCTGTCTTTTCTTACAGGATATGTCATTTGCAAAAATCAGTTTTATCTTAGCAGGTACTAGCCCCGCCCACCCACCCTCTCTTTTCTTAGTGAATATGTCATTTGCTAAAATCAGTCTTATCTAAGGAGGTACTAAGCCCCCAAGAAAAAGGGCGAGTGGGTGCGGCTATTGTTTGCCAACATAAGACTGATATTGCCAAATAACATACCCTTTAAGAAAATAAAGGGAGGACGGTGGGGCTAGTACTTGCCAAAATAAGACTGGTTTTGGCAGATGTCATATCTTTGAAGAAAATGAAGGGTGGGTGGGCGGGGCTAATCCTTGCCTAGATAAGAGTGATTTTACCAAATGGTATAGCCTGTACCCTTCATTTTCTTAGAGAGTAGGTCATTTGCCAAAATCAGTTTTATCTTAGCAGGTACAGTGTTTTTTTTTGAAAGAAGAAAAAACGACGTTTAATTTATTTTATTTTTAATCTTAGGGTTTCCTAGTGTTTTTTATAAAAATAATTTGGGTTTTTCAATGTTTTTTAATGAAAACGAATCTCCACATCTCTGGTGTTTTGTTTTTGAAAAATTTGAAAGAATCTCGGAGGCGCCTAGTTTTTTTTAAAGGGTTTAAAAGATTTCTCTAGAGCTTTTTTGAATGACTTTAATAGTTATTTATGTTACAAGTGTTGAAAACGGTCCATTGCATTACGAACGGGAATACGGCGCGAGACGCAGTCGAGCGCTGTATGTAAGTGAGTAATGCAATGGAGTTTTCACACGAGTATCATACAAGAGTTTTAATGTGTTTTGTTTTTGAAAAAATGTTGAAGAGTTTCTGGGGTTCCTAGTGTTTATTTTTAAAAATTTAAAAGAATTTCGAGAACCCGTCGTATTTTTTTTTTAAGTATTTAAATGAATCTTGGGGGTTCTTCCAGATCTCCAAATGTTTTTTCAAAAAAATAAAAAGAATCTCGAGGGCTCCTAGCGTTTTTTTTTTTGTAATTTAAAAGAATCTCGGCACCGCTGTTATACTTAATTTGAAAGAATTTTAAACAACTTCGGGAACCCGTAGTCTATTTATTTTTGAGTATTTAAAAGATCTTGGGGATCCCTCAGGTCTTATTTTTGAAAGAATTTGAAAGAATGTCACGTTCCCGAATCTTTTTTTTAACAACTAAAAAAACCTTAGGGCTCCTGTTGTTTTATTGTTTTTTAAATTGAAAGAATTTTTGGGTTTCCGAGTGTTTTTTTCTTTTATTAAAAGGAACCCCAGGTTTCCAAGTGTTTTTTTTTTTCAAAAAATTAAAAAGAATCTCGTGTTTTCAAGTTTTTTAACAATTTATAAATTTCCCAGTGTTTTAATTAAAAAGAATCTTCAGGTCTCTGCTGTTTTGTTTTTAAAAATTTGAAAGAATGTTCGAAGCCTTTTATAAGAGTTCAAAAGAATTTCAAAGTCCTTAGTGCTTTTTTGAATGAATTTAAAAGTATCTCGAGGTGTTTTGCTTCTGAAAAAAAATTAAAGAATTTTGGGAGCTCCTAGTATTTTATAAGATTTTAAATCTCAGGGACCCCTCGTGTTTTGTTTGTGAAAGGATTCAGAAAACACTGGTGTTTTTTTAAGAAATGAAAAGAATTACGAAGTTTCCTTTTTTTTAGTATTTAAAAGAATCTCTGAGCTCCAAGTGATTTATTTTTTTAAGGAATTTAAAAGAATTTTGGGGACCACTTATGTTTTAGAAAGGTATAAAAATCTCGGGGACCCCTGGTTTATTTTTTAATGAATTTAAATAAATCTTGGTATTTTTCTTAATTTCAAAGAATCTGTGTTGGTTTATTTTGTGTAGAAATTTGCCCTCCTCTTCTTAAATATTTTCATCTTCTAGTGCCACTTCCGGGACGAGAAGTCCCCAGTGTCGAAATTAATCCTACCGTTTACCCGCGCATGCTTGCACCTGCCCCTTTTTTTTTTCGATTAAGAATTTCGAAATGATGTAGATTAGTCCCCAACTCTTCTCCAGCGGGCGAAATTCCGCCGTCGTCCCCCGCCCCCCGCGCCGCCACTGCGCCTATTCTCGTCCTAACACACTTTCGTTCAGTGACATGCGTCGTAAAAAATAGAAAACGCCGCGATCCTCGTCCGCGCCGCCTAAAAATACCGCAAAAATAGCCCGAGTGCGAATTCTCCCCTTCCCTTGCAGACGCACGCCACTGCTCGGACCCCAAGAGCTCAGATGACGAACATTCGCATAATTACATTCCACATTCCAAGGTTTGTTTCATTTTAGCCTAACCATAATAAACAATAGTCCGGCGCGTTTTAGGAGGGATCCCAAAAATCAAATAAATCCCATAAAACACCATGGGCCAAGATGAAAGACATCATCCAGACCCGCAACAGCTTCAAGAAGAAGCACCGCCTCAGCGCCCACAGCGACGACGTCCAGATCGACGTGGAGCTCTGCTCCGACGAGGACAACGTGTTCGAGGAGGGCTGCGACGTGCCGCCGGAGGTGGTGGCGCGCTACCGCCAGGCCGCCGAGGACGGCGTCCAGGTGTCCAAGTGGACGCGGGTGAAGAAGGCGTTCCTGCCGGACGCGGCGCCCCCGAGCGCCGAGGAGGAGGTCCAGGCGAATTACAAGCAGCTGCAGAAGAAGCTGAGTCTGGAGTTCCAGGAGAAGCTGGGGGAGTGGGAGCGCATGCGCCAGAACTCGCCCAGCACGGCGGCGCCCCCGGCGGCGCTCGACGACGCCAAGGACCCCGCCTTCATCAAGAAGATGGAGGAGTGGCAGAAGATCAAGGCGCAGCCATCGCTGAAGAAGCCGCCGATGACGAGCAGCGAGAACCTCCCACCGGAGTTCCGCAAGAAGCTCCAGGAGTGGGAGAAGATCCGGAAGGGTTCGGGGACGAAGAAGAAGCTGGCGGACGTGCCGAGGTGGAAGAGCTTGAGTGGGCCGAAGAGCGAGATGGACTACCAAAACCTGTCGGAGGACTTCCGGAAGAAACTAGAAGAGTGGAAGCAGATGAAGAGCGACAAAACCAGCCCCAAACAAAGCCAAAAACAAAAAAAAGAAACCGACAAAGAACTCCAGTGGTTCGAAAAAGAACTAACAAAAATCGAGAAAGAAAAACAACGACTAGAAAGAGAGCGCCAGAAGTTCCTAGAACGAGAAGAATCTTTATCAAAACTGAGAAACTCAGTCGTCGGAGGACTCAAAAAGGAAGTCCTAATACACACACCTTCAGGCTTCTATCGCTTCGAAGGAATTTCTAGAAAGTTCACCCAGAAACTCTACGAGTGGGAAAAAGCCCAAGGAATAGGACCCGAATCTTCAACTTTCGCCCTCCTGAACTCCTCCCTAACTCCCGACAAGAAAGATCTTCAAAGAAACGAAACCTCGTCTCTAGTGAGATCCAAATCCGCCGACAGTATAGCTATTTCTGCCCTCAATCTAACTTGTCCCTTGATGAGCCACCAGCCATCAAGTCTCTCTCTAAACGACGTCGAAGAGCTAGAAAAGGAGTGTCTAGACGATTCTAGATCTTCCTCAGAGCAGTTTATCTCGAGTCATTCGCACGAAACTCTAGCGCTAGATGAACCAGAAGCACTGATTGTCGAAATAGAAGACATAGTTGAAGAAACAGCCGAGCCCTTGCACCCGATTGCAATAGCGCAAAAGACGCAGCAGCCCATCTATCAAAGACAAGAAGCAAAGCTATGGTAGGATCTAGAAGATCTAGACCTTCTATGGAGTCTTTATAGAGTCTGTTTTTTTAGCGAAGGCGAGACCTGTGCGGCCCCTAAGATCAGACGAAGCGAGTCAACTAGAGCCCAAAGCAACTACAATTTGATTGAAGAAATTTTCAGTATTTTGAAGAATCTGCAAGAAAACGAAGTGGAAATTCAGTAAGTTCTGACTACATAGAGTTCAAAAATGTAATTCAGGTTCTAGGAAAATCCAAGAGGTGTTGGCGGAACAGGAAGAAAAGTCTAATTCGGAGCTCATCCGGCTCAAGGTAAAACTAACATTTTCGTAATTTTGTGAAATCATGATTTTTCGTTTTCTTGATTTTTTTGATTTTTATTTTCTCGATTTTGTATCATGATTTTTCGTTTTACATTTCCTTTATTTTTTCAATGTTTATTTTTCGATTATTCTATTTTCTGATGTCTTTAATTTTCAATATTTCGGTTTTACAATATTTGGTTCTTTCGTTTTTGGACTTTTTTGATACCACAATTTTTTATTTTTTCGATTTTTTAGTTCTAGAATCGTCAAAATTCGAAAAATTGAAAAATCTAGTAAATAAAAAACTTTTAAATCCAGTAATCGAAAAATGGAAAAAAAAATTGAAAAAGTGAAAAATCGAGAAACTAAAAATCTAAAATTCAAAAAAAAAATTAGTAAAAATCTACAATTCAAAAAACAAAAATTAGTAAATCAGGAAACTAATAAACCGGAAAAAAAGAAAAAAAAAACGAATAGATAAATTGAAGAAATGAAAAATTGAAAAATGGGAATTCGTGAACTTCATTCTGAAACATATAAAAGTTGGAAAATCGAAAATTTGAAAAATTTAAAAACGCAAACTCGAAAAGCATATCGTAAAAAATTTTTCGTTTTTCTAATTTCTCAATTTTTAATTTTTCCATTTCCTCGATTTTTCAAGTTCTTGAGTTTTATTTTTTATTTTCACCATTTTTTCTTTTTCATTTTTTTTTTATTTTCTATCACAGTTTTTAGTTTTTTCATTTTTGACTTTTCAGTTTTACAATTTTGCAATTTTTCGTTTTATTGAAAAAATCGAAAAATTAGAAATCGAAGAAATAAAGAAACGACAATTTGAAATATTGGATAGAAAAAAAAATAATGAATTCGAAAAATTCAAAAATCGGAAAGTGAAAAGGTATAAAAATCAAAGTCTAAATAACGGTAAATCGTAAAAAAGAAAAATTGGAATTTCAAAAAGTCAAAAAATTAACAAATCACAAATAGGAAAATCGAAAAATCTAAAAATCGAAAACTCGAAAGGATTGAGAAATCCAAAAATCGAAAGAACGTAGAATCGAAATCGTAAAAAAGAGAAATCCTAAAATGGATTGTCGAAAAATCAAAAAATCTACAAATCGAAAACTCAAAGTCGAAAAATCCAAAAATTGAAAAATGGAAATTTCGGAATATCGAAAAATTCAAAAATTACCAAACGAAAAGTCGAAAAACCCAAAAATAAAAAAATCCAAAAATCCAAAAATCGAAAAATCGAAAAGAAAAAACAAATCCAAAAATCGCAGTCCGAATTCGAAAAAACGAAAAACCAAAAAACATAAAATCGAAAAGGTCGAAAAATCAAGAAATCGAAGTCAAAAAATCGAGAAATGGAAAATTTGAAAACTCCATAAATCAATAAATCAAAAAGTCCAAAACGAAATTCGAAATTTTGAAAAGTCGAAAAATTCAAAAATCACAAATCGTAAAGTCGAAAAATCCAAAAATCGAAAACTCAAAAGAATTGAGAAATCCAAAATAAAAAAGTCGAAGAATTGATCAATCCAAAAATCGAAAAATCGTAGAATCGAAGTCGTAAAAAAGAGAAATCCAAAAATGGATAATCGAAAAATCCAAAAATTGACAAATCAAAAAATAAAATTTAGAAAATCGAAACATTAAGAAATTGAAAAATCTAGAAATTGAAATATGTATTGGCAAAGTCGAAAAATCCAAAAATCAAAATTTCGAAATATCCAGAACTTGAAAAATTGAAAAAATGATTTTCGAGAAATCGAAAATTTAAAAAAAACTAAAAGTTGATAAGTCAAAAAACCCATCATACGAAAATTCGAAATTTCTACAAGTCAAAAATCCAAAAATCGGAAAATCAATAAATTCAAAAATCACAAATCGAAAATTCGAAAAATCCAAAAACAGATAAATCGAAAAATCCAAAAATCGAAAACTCGAAAAATTGAACAATCCAAACATCGAAAAATCCTAGAATCAAAGTCGTAAAAAAGAAAAATCCAAAAATCTACAAATTGAAAACTCAAAGTCGAAAAATTCAAAAATTACCAATCGAAAAGTCGAAAAACTCAAAAATAAAAAAATCCAAAAATCCAAAAATCGAGAAGTCGAAAAATTGAACAATCCAAAAATCGAGAAATCGAAAAGTCAAAGTCGAAATATCGAGAAATCTGCAAATTGAAAAGTCTAATTTGAGAAATCTAGAAATCGAAATACTGAAAAATCGAAATTTCGAAAAATCCCATTAATCGAAAAATCGAAATCAAATTAAAATTTGATAAGTCAAAAAATCGTCACACGAAAATTCGAAATTTCTAAAAGTCAAAAATCCAAAAATCGGAAAATCAATAAATTCAAAAATCACAAATCGAAAATTCGAAAAATCCAAAAACAGATAAATCGAAAAATCCAAAAATCGAAAACTCAAAAAATTGAACAATCCAAACATCGAAAAATCCTAGAATCAAAGTCGTAAACAAGAAAAATCTAAAAATCGACAAATCGAAAAGTCAAAGTCGAAATATCGGGAAACCCGAAAGTCCAAACTTTAAAAAACCGGAAATATGGAAAGTCGAAAAATCGAAAATATGGAAAGTCGAAAAATCAAAAAATCCAATATCAAAAAGTCAAAAAATCCCCACCATCGAAGAATCGAAAAGTACAAACGAAATCTAAAAACTGAAAAATCGCAGTATAGACAAATCGAAAAAACGAAAAGTCGAAAAATTAAAAAATCACAAATCGTAAAGTCGAAAAATCCAAAAATCGAAAACTCAAAAGAATTGAGAAATCCAAAATAAAAAAAGTCGAAGAATTGATCAATCCAAAAATCGAAAAATCGTAGAATCGAAGTCGTAAAAAGAGAAATCCAAAAATGGATAACCGAAAAATCCAAAAATTGACAAATCAAAAAATAAAATTTAGAAAATCGAAAAAACTGAAAGTCGAAACATTAAGAAATTGAAAAGTCTAAATTGAAAAATCTAGAAATTGAAATATGTATTGGCAAAGTTGAAAATTCCACAAATCAAAATTTCGAAATATCTAGAACTTGTAAAATTAAAAAAATGATTTTCGAGAAATCGAAAATTTTAAGAAAACTAAAAGTTGAAAAATCCATCACTCGAAAATTCGAAATTTCTAAAAGTCAAAAATCCAAAAATCGGAAAATCAATAAATTAAAAAATTGCAAATCGAAAATTCGAAAAATCCAAAAACAGATAAATCGAAAATTCCAAAAATCGAAAACTCGAAAAATTGAACAATCCAAACATCGAAAAATCCTAGAATCAAAGTCGTAAAAAAGAAAAATCCAAAAATCGACAAATCGAAAAGTCAAAGTCGAAATATCGGGAAACCCGAAAGTCCAAACTTCAAAAAATCGAAAATATGGAAAGTCGAAAAATCGAAAATCGAAAAATCAAAAAATCCAATATCAAAGAGTCAAAAAAGTCCCAAAAAGTCGGGAAAAACGAAAAATCGAAAAATGAGGAAGTCCAAAAATCAAAGTCTGAAAATCGAGAATTCGAAAATCCGAAAAATTGAATATTTATACAACCCAAAAATCAAACAGGCAAAACATCCAAAACTCGAAAATTCGACAAATGGAAAAATCTACAAGTCGAAAAATCCAAAAGACGAAAACTGAAAAATCGACATCGAGGTATAGAATTTGGAAAAACGAGAAATCTAAAAATCGAAACATCAAGAAATTGAAAAGATGAAAATTAAATTTAGGAATTGAAAAATGGAAAAGTCGGAAAATACAAAAATCGAAATATAAAAAAAAGACGAAAAATCGATCCAAAATCGGGAAAATGGAGAAACCCAAAAAATAAAAAATCGAAAATCGAAAAATAAAAAACAAAGATTCAAAACTCCAAAATCGGTAAAATGGAGAAACTCAATTCAATTACTTAGTAATCGTTAAAAAAAAGAAAATTGCGAAATCGTAAAATCCAGAAATTTGAAAAATTCAAAATTCAGTCAAAAATTCGGAATCAAAAACAGTAAAACTGAAAAATTTAAACTTGCAAAGAATTGAAAAATCCAAGCCAAAAATCACAAAAATTTCTAAATAAACCGTGGACAAATTTTTCTTCCTAGATGTTTGACGAGTCGCAAAAAGCCATGTCCATCCGCCTCTGCGAAAAAGTCACCCGTTTGCAAGAAGCCAATGCCAGGGTATTTTCCAGCCTCACCAAAGAAGAAGATTTCAACACCAAACAAGTCCTGGAGACTCTGGAGACCGTTCAAGACCTATCTTCCGAGATCTACCAACTGGTAAGTTCTTCATCCAAACCCACTGGATTTTTCCAAACCCACTGGTTTCTTCCAGACCGAAAAACTCGACTCGGAGATCAACGAGCGCAACGTCTATGACTCCCTTCCAGAAAAAGGAGCGTGTTCCTTGAACCCCACCACAGAAGTCGCCAAGGACATCAAAAACAGGATGTTGGAACTCCGGCGAAGACTCAGCTACGTGTGTGCAGCTTCAGGTATGGGTTTTGCTTCATTTTCTAGAATGACATCGTCGTGGTTGTAGATTTGACAGCACCAAGACGAAGACAAGTCAAAAAGAACGAAGAAAGTGAGAAGAACGTGCGCTTGTATGTGAAGAATGAGAGTACGCAGAGTCAGGGGGCTATCAAGAAACGGATACGATATAGACAGAAGAGGAGGGCGTGTGATACAGATGAAGAAGAAGAAGATGTGAAGAAGAACGTCCATAGGAAAGTGGGGAGGAGTAGGTCGGTGTCGGAGAATAGTGAGGTGGTTGTGGACGAAGCCATCGTCCAGAAAGTGGTCGTCCCGACTCAAAGTAACATCCTCAATGTGTGTCTAGATGAAGAAAACAAGAATCTAGATTCACCGGTTACCGTCTTCGTCAAGACGACGAGGAAATTGTTCACGCCTTTGGTGGAGAGTGGCTTGAAGGGGGATGAAGAATGTGAAGAACAAGAAGATGTAGAAGAAGAAGGAGAAAAGAAGGTGGAGCGTAAGGAGAGTGTCACGCCTCCTGTGACGCACCTTCCTCCTCTTCCATCCCCTCTTCCTGTGAAAAAAGCAATTTCGCCAAGTATTCGTCTTATGATGGCCAAATACAACCAGAAAGTGTCAGAAGATTCACATAGTACGAAATCCGGTAATAGTAGTGGCTCCGCCTCCCCTTTATGGTTGTCCCCGCCTTCTGAGCGCCGCGTGCGCTCTCAAACCGAGCGCTACCAGGAGGAGTTAAAACGCTCCTCCCCTCGGGCGCGACTACGAGTCCACAAATCACACACCGTTGACGCCCTCCCCACCATGCCCCCTTCACCCGACCCGAAACGCCTATCGTCAGAGCTCCGCCTCCAGAAACTACACAAGGCGAAGGAGGAGTTCCTCAACGCGCCCGCCTCCGCCCCGCCCCAAATCTGCGACGAGCCAATCAGATTCCCGGCTAGAAACCGTCTCAGTCAAATTAGCGTGGATAGTGAAACCAGCTACGAATCAGCTTGTGGGGCTCTCATCAAGTCGGCGAGTGCTGGAATGATCAATGTGGACGCCGAAGTTTACAGACAAATCGACCCCGAGGTGCACGGAGGGGGGTACGTGTCGTTGCCACGCAACACTAAACGAGGGGAGGGGTTTCTAGGGGGGCGGTTCGGATTGGCCAGTATTGCTAGTAAGTTCAGGAAGGTGAAGATGAGGCGGGGCAAAGACAAGGAGGGGAGGATGGGGGCGGTGTCTGCGTTGTGCAGGCAGAGTTTGGTGGTGGATATACAGCCACTGGTGGCGAAAGAGGAGGAGACGAAGAGTGGGGGATGGATCAAGAAGGCTAAGCTGTTTAAGAAGTGACGGGACTGCATTTTTTAGGTTAATTAATATTTTAGAATTTTCTTACTGCAAGTTTTATGTTTAAAATGATGTTCGTTGTAAAAAATCTAAATTGTCAAAAATGTCAGTCTATATTTAGGTGTTTTTTTACTTCCTGAGTGGTCGCCCGTTTCCGTCGTGTCTGATTTTTATTAGACACATAATCTCCAAAACTACTGAACCGATTGTCGTCAATTTTTTTATGTATGTTATGGAGATGGTAAAATTTTTAATTTTGTAGAATAAATGCCCACGTCCGTCGCAGGCCTGCCAACCGAATAGTGCGTGTCACCGCTTAGTCGCCCCCGGCGCCCTGTCAAAATGACATGATTTCTCGGTAAAATCGAGTTCAATAACTCGGAAGACAATGCTGCCAACTTGGGTCTCGAGCGCGCCAAATGTCGCTTTCGGTAGCTCACGGGAGTCATTATTTGCCCATCTGTGGTCAACGACCCATCGGAAAAATCGTCAATCATCCCTGTGTGGGTGTGCCGAACGTCGTGGTCGCAAATGGGACTTTGATTGGTTTTGGATTTTTGCGGGCGCTTCTTGTGTGGACATCGGGGGTGTAATTGCGGTCTGGGGGCCGTGGGGGTGGGCTGGTGTAAATTAATAGAGGCAGAGGACGCGGTTTTGTGGTTGTGGGTTGGAGGTTTTATTCGATTTTAATGACGTTGTGAGGTCTTAGTTAAAAGAAGAGATTTTTTTTAAATTGGGTAAAAAGGAAAATTATATGGGTTGGGAGATGGTAAACAAAGCAGCTAGGGGTCCGGAATGAACACATTGATGCGATTGAAATAAAGCGGACCAGAGTTGGCTGTATGGGTGTATAAAATTTAAATAGGTGGCCAACCTGACAAAAAATCACAAACATTAATAGTCACTACGGATTTGCCACCACTAGCGCCATCTATCAAACGGGTAAACACGTTTCCGTACAAGATAAATCGCGTTCTATACCATCTGAACTAATAAAATATATAACTGAACTTAAGTTCGTCCCAGCTTGTACGTTTTTTGTTAACAGTTTTTTATTTTGTTATGTTTTTCATAGTGTATTTGTCTTGAAAATTAAAAATGGTAAATTTACCATTAAGTTTTAGCCCGGGGTTCCACAACTAAAGAAAAATCCATCGCAGTTGAGGTTGGGGCTCATTTTTTGACTTTTTTTTTCTTAAAAATATATAGTTTTCTTTCAACAACACGCTACTAAAAACATGTTCCACATCCTAGTTTCGTGTAGAGAAATAGGCATTTTTTAATTAAGCACCGCCCCTCAATACACGACAAATAAACAAGTCAACACAATTGAGATGAGGGCGGGTGGGCGGGGTTTGTATTTTGCCTTTTTTTTTCTTAACATGCCTACATAGTTTTCTTTTCAAGACAAGAAACTGAAAACATTTTTAAAATAGTAAATTTGTAAAGAAATGTGGTGAATAAAATTTACCATTCTAACATACAGGGTTAGTCACGAGAGAATTACTTCTGAAAATTATTTTTACGCAACCCAAAATACGGATACCATGTACCATTTGATACTAACTGAATTTAAAATGAAATGCTTAATCCATGATTGCTTTGAGTTTGGCAATGTCACTTTGACAATTCTGGGAAAGGAGGTTACGCAAATGTCCATGGTGGTACCGCAGCCAGTCGGAAATCTCCTCCGGCGCCGCTAATAAATTTGTCAGTGTACCTCTTGATCTTTTGCTACCGATTAATCACGAGAAAATTATTTCTAAAAATTCCTTTTACGGCATTTTATTCAAAGGTTACAACACAAACTCAAACAAGTAAGTAAATAATTTAACTAATAATCTGTTGAAAATGTTGGGCATTTTGGGGGGATGCTACGGCTTTTTTGTAAATGGATGGCCGAAGAAGTCTAGAGGTTGCAGATTTGCACTTCGAAGAGGCTGTAGGTGACGCAGAGATGGCGAATTAACACATGCATATTAGCGGCGAACAACATTGGTAGAGCACTTACGGCTTCAGTATAGCCCAGATTGATCTGACTGTATGTCGTCGATCCAATGGGGCTCTAGAGGCGAGTCAACGATGAAAAAAAATGTTAAAAATTAATTAACGTCAAAGTGACACTGCCAAAGTCAAAGCAATCATGGATTAGGCATTCCATTTTAAATTTAGATAATATCAAGTGGTACAAGGTATTAGTATTTTGGGTTGCGTAAAAATAATTTTCAGAAGTAATTCTCTCGTGACTAACCCTGTATTTCTTCTTGTTGTGAACACAACACTACGTTCATTAAAAAAAAAAGCAAAACAAAGCAAATTAAGCCCCGCCCACCCACCCTATCTCAATTGTTATGATTTTTTTATTCTTTGTTAGCCAGAGGGACGGAGCATAATTACAAAATTCATACTTGTCTACAAAAATTTACCATGTTTTATGTTTCTTATTGTGAAAAAATGACTACGTATGTTTAAAAAAAGTCGCAAAATATAAGCCCCACCCACCCGCCCTATCGCAATTCTGATGATTTTTTATATTCGTCATGACTCAGAGGGCGGAATTTGATTGCAGTTTTTCAATTTTCCGTTGAGTTTTTTCTAATTTTTCAATTTTTCGATTTGCTATTTTTCCATTCGGTTTTTTATTTTGTTTTACAATTTTTTGTTTTTTCATTTTTAATTTTTTCGATTTAAAATTTCCAGAGATTGCAATTTTTGGATTTTTTAATTTTTCTATTTACAGTTTTCCGGTTTCAATTTTTAGATTTTTCAAGTTTTAGATTTTTAAGTTTCCGTTTTTTTCTTTAATTTTAGACTTGATTATTCATTTTTTAGTTACTGGAGATTTAACTTTTTCATTTATTCGACTTTCCAGTTTTTCGACTTTTTAATTTTTCAATTTTTCGATTCATTAATTTTTTTCGATTTTTTTATTCCTTAGATTTTCTGGATTTTTTGGATTTCTGCGATTTTTGAGATTATTTTGGATTTCTGGGCTTTTTTAGATATTTTAGATTTTTTGGGATTTTTTAGATTTTAAGGATATTTTTGATTTGTCGAACTCCGAATTTTTTAAATTTCGCAAAGTTTTCAGTTCATACTTTTCCATTTTACAATTTTACAATAATTCAATAATTGAAAAATGGAAAAACTCTAAAATCGTAAAATTGAAAAACTGAAAATTTTTGAAAATTATAGTTTTTTTATTACATTTTCAAAATGAAAACTAGAATAATTGCAAATCAAAAATTGAAGGAATAAAAAATTTAAAACTCGAGAAACACAATGAAAAAAAGAAAATTAAAAGAACGATTTTCCACTTTTTGTTTTTTTGGGATTTTTATGGTTTTCTTGAAATTTATTTGGACTTTTTGGACGTTTTAGTTTTCAAATTATTGGATGTCTCCAGTTTCTTGGATTTTTTCGATTTCCTGTTTTATGGTTTATTTAATTTTTCGAATATTTTGGATTTTTTTAGTTTTTTAGATTTTTGATTTTTTTTTTTGGATTTTTGGACTTATTTGGATCTTTTGGATTTACTTGGATTTTCTTGAATTTTCTTGAATATCTATCGGATTTATAGAATATTTTAGATTTTTTGGATTTGTTGGAGATTTTGGATTTTTCGATTTGTTGAATATCTTGGATTTTTTGGACCTTAGGATCTTTTGGATTTTTTGGATTTGTTAGATTTTTTAGATAATTGTTTTTTTTTTTGAGATTACAAATTGTTGAGTTTCTCGGGTTTTTCGGATTTTTCGGATTTTTCGGATTTTTCAGATGTCGGATTTGTTGGATTTGTCGGATTTGTGGGATTTGTTGGTTTTGTCGGATTTTTTGGATTTGTTGGATATTTTAAATTTTTCGGATTTGTTGGATATTTCGAATTTTCTGGATCTTGGAATCTTTTGGATCTTTTGGATCTTTTGGATCTTTTGGGACTTTTGGATCTTTTGGAATTTCCAGATTTTTTAAATTATTCTATTTTTTTGAGATTACAAATTATTGGACCTCTTGAGAATCTTGGGTTTTTTGTATTTTTTTGGATTTTTTGGATTTCTCGATTTTGTCGTATTTGTCGGATTTGTTTGATTTCTTGGTTTTGTTGAATTTGTTGGATATTTTGATTTTTTTTATTCTTGGGATTTTTTTGGATCTTTCGGATCTTTTGGGTCTTTTGGATCTTTTGGATCTTTTGGATTTTTTAGATTTTTTGGATTTTTTAGATTGTTTTTTATGAGATTACAAATTATTGTACTCTACCTCTTGAGTTTCTTGGGTTTTTCGAATTTTTTTGGATCTTTTGGATTTTTTTAGATATTCTTGGATTATCTTGGATTTTCTTGGATTTTTTGGATTTGTCGGATTTGCCGGATTTGTCGGATTTGTTGGATTTGTCGGATCTGTCGGATTTGTTAAATATTTTAGATTTTTTGGATTTGTTGGATATTTTGGATTTTTTGGATCTTAGGATCTTCTGGATCTTTTGGATTTTTTGGATTTGTTAGATTTTTTAGATAATTGTTTATTTTTTGAGATTACAAATTATTGAGTTTCTCGTGTTTTTCGGATTTTTCGGATTTTTCAGATGTCGGATTTGTTGGATTTGTCGGATTTGTGGGATTTGTGGAATTTGTCGGTTTTGTCGGTTTTATCGAATTTTTTGGATTTGTTGGATATTTCGAATTTTCTGGATCTTGGGATTTTTTGGGACTTTTGGATCTTTTAATTCTTTTGAATTTTTTGTAATTTCCAGACTTTTAAAATTATTCTATTTTTTGAGATTACAAATTATTGGACCTCTTGAGAATCTTGGGTTTTTTGTATTTCTTGGATCTTTTGGATTTTCTTGGATTTTTTGGATTTCTCGATTTTGTCGTATTTGTCTGATTTGTTTGATTTCTTGGTTTTGTTGGATTTGTTGGATATTTTGAATTTTTTTAATCTTGGGATTTTTTTGATTTTTCGGATCTTTTGGGTCTTTTGGATCTTTTGGATCTTTTGGATTTTTTGGATTTTTTGGATTTTTTAGATTGTTTTTTTGAGATTACAAATTATTGTACTGTACTTCTTGAGTTTCTTGGGTTTTTCGGATTTTTTTGGATCTTTTGGATTTTTTTAGATATTCTTGGATTATCTTGGATTTTCTTAGATTTTTTGGATTTGTCGGATTTGCCGGATTTGTTGGATATTTTAGATTTTTTGGATTTGTTGGATATTTTGGATTTTTTGGATCTTAGGATCTTCTGGATCTTTAGGAGTTTTTGGATTTGTTAGATTTTTTAGACAATTGTTTTTTTTGAGATTACAAATTGTTGAGTTTCTCGGGTTTTTCGGATTTTTCAGATGTCGGATTTGTCGGATTTGTGGGATTTGTGGGATTTGTCGGTTTTGTCAGATTTTTTGGATCTGTTGGATATTTTAGATTTTTCGGATTTGTTGGATATTTCGAATTTTCTGGATCTTGGGATCTTTTGGATCTTTTGGATTTTTTGGGACTTTTAAATCTTTTAATTCTTTTGTATTTTTTGGAATTTCCAGATTTTTTAAATTGTTCTATTTTTTGAGATTACAAATTTTTGGACCTCTTGAGAATCTTCGGTTTTTTGTATTTTTTGGATCTTTTGGATTTTCTTGGATTTTTTTGATTTCTAGATTTTGTCGTATTTGTCGGATTTGTTTGATTTCTTGGTTTTGCTGGATTTGTTGGATATTTTGAATTTTTTTAATCTTGGGATCTTTTGGGTCGTTTGAATCTTTCGGATCTTTTGGATTTTTTGGATTTTTTAGATTGTTTTTTTATGAGATTACAAATTATTGTACTATACCTCTTGAGTTTCTAGGGTTTTTCGGATTTTTGGACTTTTTTTGGATTTTTTCGATTTTGTTTGGATATACTTGGATTATCTTGGATTTTTTGGATTTGTCGGTTTTGGCGGATTTGCCAGATTTGTCAGATTTGTTGGATTTGTTTGGTTTATTGGTTTTGTTGGATTTGTTGGATATTTTAGGTTCTTTTAGATTTGTTGAATATCTTAGATTTTTGGGTCTTGGGATATTTTGGATTTTTTTGGATTTCCTTGGATTTTCCTAGATTTTTTGGATTTCTCGGATTTGTCGTATTTGTCGGATTTATGGGTTTTGTTGGATTTGTTGGATATTTTGATTTTTTTTAATCTTGGGATTTTTTGGATCTTTTGGGTCTTTTGGATCTTTTGAATTTTTTGGATTGTTTAGATTATTGTTTTTTTGAGATTACAAATTATTGTACTGTACCTCTTGAATTTCTTGGGGTTTTCGGATTTTTTGGATCTTTTGGATTTTTTTAGATATTCTTGGATTTTCTTGGATTTTTTGGAGTTGTCGGATTTGTCAGATTTGCCGGATTTGTCGAATTTGTTGGATTTGTTGGACTTGATGGATTTGTTTGATTTTTAGTTTTGTTGGATTTGTTGGATACTTTGGGTTTTTTTAGATTTGTGGGTATCTTTTGGATCTTTTGTTTTTTTGAGATTACAAATTGTGGAGTTCTTCAGTTTCATGGGTTTTTGGATCTTTTGATTTTTTTGTATTTTTGGAATTTGTTGGATTTTTTGGCATTCGTATTATTGGATTTCTTGAGTTTCTGAAGTTTTCTGGATTTATTTGGTTTTTGGTTTTCCGGATTTTTGGGATCTTTGGATCTTTTGGATTTACAATTTAATTATTAAATCTCTTGAATTTTTAGTTTTTGCATATCTCTGGTTTTTTGTATTGTTCGGATATTTTTTTGTTTTTTTTTTATATTTGGATTTTTTGATTTTTTTTGGAATTATTTTAGAATTTTTAGGTATTCTTTAGGGTTTCAAATTATTGAATCTCTTGAGTTTATGAGGTTTTTTTAATTTCTTCGGTTTCTTTTGATTTTTCGGATTTTTCGTATCTTTGGATTTTTTGGATTTACAATTATTGGTTCTCTTGAATTTTTCGAGTCTTTGAACTATTCGAACTTTTTCAATTTTCCCATTTTTCAGATTTTTCGGATATTTAGAATTATTTTTTTGAATTTCGAATTATTGGATTCCTCGAGTTTCTTGGGTTTTTGGATGTCTTCAGTTTTTTGTTTTTTTGGATTTTCGTATTTTTGAGATATTTTAGATTTTTTGGATTATTTAGATTTTTTTAGAAGTTTTCATTTCATACTTTTCCGTTATATCATTTCTGATTTCTCAATTTTACAATTTTACAATAATTCAGTAATTCAAAAATGGAAGAATTCTAAAATCGTAAAATTGAAATAGTGAAAATTAAAAAAAAATATCGTTTTTATTACATTTTAAAATGAAAAGCAAAAAAATTGCAAATCCAAAAATGATGGAATGAAAAATCTAAAAGTTGAAAAGTCACAAAATTGAAAACCGAAAATTTGTAAAAGGAAATCTGAAAAAATGAAAAATTTCACATTAAAAAAAATGAGAACATTGAAAAACCTAAAAATTGAAAAAATACAGAAAACAAAATACCGAAACGAATTATTGCAAGTCAAAAAATTGAAAAATGGAAAAATTTTAAAAGAACAAAAATAAAAAAGCGAAACGAAAAACTGTAAGTTGAAAATCTATAGAAATGAAAAATTAAAGAATCGAAAAACTGAAGAAAGGAAAAACATTGCTGGTAGGGTTCAAACAAATTTTGACTATCGTTTTAGAAATAAGAAAACCTTTTAACAACATCATTTTATATAACAACAACGGATCTGTTACAAAATCTTATAACAAAATACACAAACTCCACAAAATTGATGAGTTTCAAAATTTTAGGTACATTATTCAGACAACAATTAAGCCATACAATAAAGACCTGATTTAGTACTTTCCAGAACTCCACAACAGCCAGTGTGTGAAGTTCTCGACGTCTGGAGCACAGTTTCACATTACAAATACATATAGTAGGTATCAACACCCTAATATATCTTCCTCTCCAAAACCAATATACTCTTCGTCGTCTTGTCAACCGGAAGCCTGTTCACGGCAGTGAGAAAATCCTTCAAGCTCGACACCCCAAACTCGTCCATGATGAACCTCCTGGCGACGTTTCTGCTTAGTTCCACCAGCGAGGAAACCCTGGGCAATTTTTTGACCTTCTCGACGAAGTCCTTTCGTTTGCATAAACCCAAACACATCTCTTTGAGGTTGTCGTGGTTGAAGTAGTCGAAGAGGGTGTCCAGAGAGTTCGTGGTACTTATTAGACAAGACCCGGCGAACTGGCGGAAGTTGCAGAGGGCGTAGTCGATGTTGAGACACGCGTCCATGGTTCCGTCAGATGGGTAGTCCACGGTCTGGGCGTCAACCCCTTGGGCCACCACCGGAGCGAACCCAGTATGGAGCTTCAAACACCTCCGGAATTCCTGGTTCTGGAAGTCCAATCGGGGTTTATAATGTAGGAAAACCATCACCGACAAGAGTTCTTTCGAACTGACATTGTCATACACATCCACGTGTAGCAAAATCCTGAAGAGTTCGTTGTGCCCGTACTTATAATAGACGAAATTTAGGTCGTAGAGCGTCACTCTGAGCCCGTAGGACACCATCACCAGGACCCTTTTCGTGATTTCGTCTTCGTCGAACTTCGAGCTGAACACTGCGATGAACTGAGTGATGACATTGTCGGTAGTTTCGGGCTCGTACCCCTGATAAAGCCCGCAATCGCACCCACATCCAGACCCAGAAACCAGATGGTGCTTGGTACTCGCCAGCTCATCGGCACACCCTTTGGAAAAAAGCGCGTCCAAAACCTCAGCGTACTCGTCGACGTTTTCGCACCCAGCTGGCTGAATAATCCCCGAACAAAGAAATTTCTCGTCGATTGAAGCCCTCACCACGTGCTCGAACTTGTCCAGGAAGAGTAGGAAGTTTTTTTTGAAGATATGGATGAACTCTCGACGGAAGTAGTTGAGGTCGTCGTCGTCGTAGGTCACCTCTTTGGCGACCGACAACACGCGACGGAAAAGCGAGGAATTGTCTCGCATGGACTTCGTCATGGTGCGGAGCGGGACGGAACACCCGTCCTCGAACGAATAAGGGAAAAGGATGTTGAGTGCCTCGTCGAGGTTTTCGTCGCATGGGAGCAGCTCTATGGGTAGGAACCCCTTGGAGTTGGGGGTGTTGGGGTCGGCTCCGTGGTATAAAAGTTGGCACGTGAGTTCCACGTCGCCTTTGGCGCAGGCGTCATGAAGGGGAAAGAAATTTTTGTAAACCCTGATCTTGACCTCGAGGCACAACAATCGTCTAATGAGGATTTCGTGGTTCTAGTAGTAAAGACATGCTTATTTTTTACGTTTCTAAGGGACTTGAATACTCACCAGACTTATTTTTGTTTCTCTCCATTTACTATAACGTTTCACACTGCAGCTGTAGTTCCCCATACTATTAAGTGAAAAGTTTTAGCCATGTACAACTGGAAAGACTGGATGATTAGCACGGTTAAGTCATTGTAACGTACCTTTTCCCAGACAAACCAACGCCAGTGCTGGATTCCTACTCAAGATATTGATTTTTTAAATCGTTTCCCGGGATTGGTGGTGTAGGCCACCAACAATACACGGTGTCAATTTTTTGATGAAATGAACAACGCACGTTGATTAAATAAATAAATAAGTAAGTCAGAAACAACAGGCTTGTTTATTTTACTTGAATTTATTTGTAGTAACAAAAATAGAAAAATTACTGATGTATGCAACCAACAATACACGCTCTAAAACCACTGTACACTCTTAGTTCGTGTGGTCTGTAAAATAATAATAATAATAATAATAACAATAATTGGTGGGTACTTTCACTGTATATATCTAAACATTTTTGCCGTCTGCATAAGTTGAATGTGTGTTGTTTACGACGTGAAGCCGAAATAAATTAAAATACATAACCTGTATTTATTTGTTAAAATTAATATCGCGTGATCAGAAATGACTGAGTCTGTTGGCAATCCTGGATTTTTATTTGAAATTGGTATCATGATGTTTCTATGTCATCTAAATTTATCGTATGTCACACAATAACTTCAGTTATGCCAACATGAACCCAAGAAAAGTTCACATCTTTGTTTAAAAATACTGCCAACAGACTCTTTTTTATTTTTCTCTCAGATTTTTAAATTTCAATTTCTAGATTGTATATTACAATTTTCGTTCTTTCATTTCCTTTATTTTTTCAATGTTTCTTTCGATTTTATAATAATTTTTTGTTGATTCAATTTTCAAATTTTCAATCTTCGATTTTTTTATTGTTCAATTCTGCAATTTTTGGTTTTCTAATTATCCGATTTCGATTTTACAATGATTCGTTTTTTCGATTTTGTACTTTTTGGATTTTCGAATTTTCCGGATATTTTGAGTTTTTTGAATTCTTTGGATTCGCTAGATTTTTCGAATTTTTCGGATTTGTAGAATTTTTCATCTTTTTTGTTTTTTTCCTATTTTGATTTTTTCTTCGGTTTTTGTTTTTTTTTTGGATTTTCGGATTTTTCATTTATTCTAGATTTTTTCGGATTTTCTGGGTTTTTTGGATTTGTCGGATTATTCGGATTTTTCGGATTCTCATTTTATGTTTTTCCGTACTTTCCCTTTCGATTTTTCAGTTTTACAATTTTTCGGATTTTTTATTTTTTCCTTTTTGGATTTTTTTAATTAAGTGGATTTTTAGGATTCTTAGTTTTCAGGTTTTTTGGATATTTTGTTTTTTTTTTAATTATGTGGATTCCTCGAGTTCTTGGTTATTTTGGTGTCCTGCGGTTTTTGTTTTTTTTTATTTTCTGGCGTTTTTGAATTTTTCAGGTTTCTTTGGATTTTTGGATTTTTCACATCATTGGATCTTTTGGATTTACAATAATTGGATCTCTTGAGTTTCTGGAGTTTTTGGATTTCTGTGGTTTTTTTGGATTATTCGAATTTTTCGTATTTATCGGATTCTTCAGATTCCTCGGATTTTTCGGATGTTTCCGATTTTTCAGACTTTTCGGATTTTTCGGATTCGCGGGATTTTTCCGATTTTTCATCTTTTTTGTTTTTTTCCTTTTTTGATTTTTTAAATTAAGTGGATTTTTTTGGAGTTCAAATTGTTCAGTTCTTGGGTTTTTTGTATTTCTTCGGTTGTTTTTTTTCTTGATTTTCTGGATTTTCTTGATTTTCTGGATTTTTCCGAATTTTTTGGATTTTTCGGATTTTTCGGATTTTTTGGATATTTTAGATTTTTCAAAGTTCTCATTTTATATTTTTTCGTTCTTTCATTTTTGATTTTTCAATTTTACAATTTTTCGAATTTTTAGAAATTTTCAGGTTTTTTGGATTTTTTGGGATTTTTTTCGAGTTATGTGGATTTCTTAGGATTTTTTTGGATATCAAATTATTAGATTCCTCGGCTTCTTGGGTTTGTTGGATTTCTTCAGGTTTTTTTTATTTTTCTGTTTTTTTTTTCGTTTTTTTTTTTGATTTACAATTATTGGATCCCTTGAGTTTCTGGGGTTTTTGGATACCTGTGTTTTTTTTAATTTTTCGTATTTATCGGATTCTTCCGGTTCTTCGGATTCTTTGGATTCCTCACATTTTGCGGATTTTTCGGATTTTTCATATTTTTTGTTTTTTTCCTTTTTGGATTTTTTGAATTAAGTGGATTTTTAGGAGTCTTCAGTTTTTTTGGATTTCTTGAGATTTTTTTAATTATGTAGGTTTCTTTGGATTCCAAATTGTTGGATTTCTCCAGTTTCTTGGGTTTTTTGAATTCCTTCGGTTTTTTGATGGATTTTCCAACTTTCCGGGTATTTTGACTTTTTTGAAATCTTTGGATTGTGTCGATTTTTTGAACCGAAATACTGGAAAACTCGGATAAATGAAAAAGATTCAAAATCCAATCATTGAAAAACTGAAAAATTCCAATATCGTAAAATTGTAAACGTGAAAATTTTAAAAAATTCAATTAATTAAAACTAGAAAAATTGCAAATCAAAAAATGTATAAACAAAAATTAAAAAATTGAAATTGAAAAAACAATGAATTGTAGAATCGAAATATTGAAAAATTAGAAAATTGTAAAAATAAAGAAAATAAAACATTGTAAAATGAAAAAACAAAAATTAATAATTGTAAACTTGTGAATTGCAAATCGAAAAATTTTTAAAAATAAGTGTCATTTACGGCACTGGTTTTAGAAAACTTCGAAAAATATAAAAAATTCTGTAACTCCAAAAAATCCAAAAATTCTGGAAAATCTGAATAATCCAAAGAATTCAAGAAAATCAGAAATATCCGGAAAAACTGAAAATCCAAAAAACCAAAAAACCCTAAAAACTCAAAAGATCCAATAATTTGAAATCCAAAAAATCAAATAATCTAAAAACTCCAAGAAAACCAAAAAATCCAAAGAGTATAAAACATCCACGAAAATTCAGAAAAATCTCAAAAATAAAACATCCAAAATATCCAAAAAAATCCGAAAGATCCAGAGAATCCTTAAAATTCAACAAAATCAAAAATACCAAAAAACCCTAGAAACTCAAAACATCCAATAATTTGAAATTCAAAAATTCAAAAAATTCAGACAATCTGAAAAAAAATCTAAAATATAAATCCGAAAAATCCAAAAAATTATGGAAGTCCAAATAAAAAAAAACAAATCGCAGAAATCCGGGAATTTCAAAAAATCCAAAGAATTTAAAATATTCTAATAATTGAAACAAATCCTAACAATAAAAAAAACCAAAAATCCGAAATATCTGAAAAATCCAAAAAATGACCAGAAAGTGAAGAGATCCAATAATTTGAAATCCAAAAAGTCAAAAGAAGTAAAAAATCCAAACAATGAAAAAAAAATCTAAAAAATACATCCGAAAAATAAGGAAAATCCAAATAATAAAAACAAAACAGCAAATCCAAGAAATCTAGGAAATTTAAAGAATTTCAAATAGCCAAGAAAATCCAGACAAATCCAAAAAATGTAAAAAAACAAATCCAAAAAATGCCCAGAAACTCCAAGCGATCCAATAATTTGGAATTCAAAAAAATTTATTTTTTAAATACTGCCAACAGACTTTTTTTTTATTTTTCTCTCAGATTTTTTAATTTCATTTTCAGATTGTATTTTACAATTTTCATTTTTTCATTTCCTTTATTTTTTCAATGTTTCAAATTTTCAGTCTTCGATTTTTCAATTCCTCGAGTTTCTAATTTTTTTATTGTTCAATCCTGCAATTTTTGGTTTTTCAGTAATCCGATTTCGATTTTACAATAATTTGGTTTTTTTTTAATCTTTTGATTTCAAATAATTATTGGATTTCTCGAGTTTCTTGCTTTTTTTGCATTTTCGAATTTTCCGGATATTTTGAGTTTTTTGAATTCTTTGGATTCTCTAGATTTTTCAAAATTTCGGATTTTTTATTTATTTTAGATTTTTTCGGATTTTCTGGATTTTTTGAATTTGTCGGATTATTCGGATTTTTCGGATTTTTGATTTTTTGGATATTTTAGATTTTTCAAAGTTCTCATTTTATGTCTTTTCGTACTTTCCCTTTTGATTGTTCAGTTTTACAATTTTTCGGATTTTTTGTTTTTTCCTTTTTGGATTTTTTTAATTAAGTGGATTTTTAGGATTCTTAGTTTTCAGGTTTTTTGGATATTTTGTTTTTTTTTTTAATTATGTGGATTCCTCGAGTTCTTGGTTATTTTGGGGTCCTGCGGTTTTTGTTTTTTTTTTATTTTCTGGCGTTTTTAAATTTTTCAGGTTTCTTTTGGATTTTTGGATTTTTCACATCATTGGATCTTTTGGATTTACAATAATTGGATCTTTTGAGTTTCTGGGGTTTTTGGATTTCTGTGGTTTTTTGGATTATTCGGATTTTTCGTATTTATCAGATTCTTCACATTCCTCGGATTTTTCGGATTTTTCCGATTTTTCAGACTTTTCGGATTTTTCGGATTAGCGGAATTTTTCCGATTTTTCATCTTTTTTGTTTTTTTCCTTTTTTGATTTTTTAAATTAAGTGGATTTTTTTGGAGTTCAAATTGTTCGGTTCTTGGGTTTTTTGTATTTCTTCGGTTGTTTTTTTTTCTTGATTTTCTAGATTTTCTTGATTTTCTGGATTTTTCCGAATTTTTTGGATTTTTCGGAATTTTCGGATTTTTTGGATATTTTAGATTTTTCAAAGTTCTCATTTTATATTTTTTCGTTCTTTCATTTTTGATTTTTCAATTTTACAATTTTTCGAATTTTTGGCTGATTTTGGCAAATGACATATCTTCCAAGAAAATAGAGGGCGGGTGGGCGGGGGGGGCTAGTACTTGCTATGATGAGAATGATTTTGGCAGATGACATATTTTCCAAGAAAATACAGGGTGGGTGGGCGGGGCTAGTATTTGGTAAGATAAGACTGATTTTGGCATTTTTGACATTTTCGACTATTTTTCAAATACACCCGAAAATTAGTTGAAGACATTTTCTTGTAGATTTCGATATCCAGAAGCCATTTTCGCCTTCGTTTCATCGG